GCGTATCACGATCCGCGGCGGCGTATTGCAATCCGCGTTGTCGTAAATCGATGGACCAAGGAGCGGGTCGCTTGCCTTTACGACAGCGCGGATCGCAATACACCTTGGCGGATTGGACTCGAAAAGTTCTGGTCTGTGATTACGTCAGCAAAAATTATTCCGCGCTAGTCGAGTCCGATCCGCGCTAGCGTATGTCTCGGATAGATTAGCGCGCCGCGTATCGTAATACGCGACCGCGTATCCGACGACCCGAAAACCAATAATGAGAAGAAGCGATACGATGTCGCGGAACAGTAGATATGTCGGCGTATCACGATCCGCAGCATCGGACAGCTAAGCGCTGCGTACGCCGGCGTGGAACACGTTACGCTGCAGCGTAACGACGCCGGAGATCGAGCAAGAATCCACCTTGCGTTCCGCGACCAGGGATTTTGAAACGCTGCATTGTATCACGATACGACAAGCGGATCGTATCCACTCACTTACGACAAAGCGGATCGGTGTACGACAAGAGGATCGGTGTACGACTCGCGGAACACGCGCAACGAGACTGAGAATCCGTCGACACCCGTACCCACGTTCCGCTACCGTCGTATCGCAAACCGCGAGTATGGATCGCGATGCGACAAGCGGATCAGACTTCCACGCGTACGCTGCTGCGGACAGACATCCATACGTCGCATGGTGATACGGCCGCGCGGATCTCAAGGCCGATCCAGGCCAGCATTTGGGTGCATACGCCCGCGCGTAAACAAATACGCTTGTGCGGATCTTGGCCGCACGCGTATCTCCCCCCGCAGCGCGTATCACGATACGAAGGCTCGGACGCCGCGGACGCCGCGGAACTCCAGTCCCCCCAGTCAGCTACGGTATTCTCGCTGCTGCTCGCTCGAGACGCCTCGGCCCGCGCTGCTACTGCGTCGAAAGCATCACGCCGAGCCCCACGCCTGCTCTCGTCGCCAATTCGCGCCGATACGAGGCAAGTTTTCCCGCCTCGACCGCCTCGATCCCCAATGATTGGCGCGCGTGTAACTGAAACGCATCTACATTCATCGCATCTTCTCTATAATACAATGTAACCGCGTCACGCACGTCACGCACGTCACGCACGCCACGCGCACGCCTACGCCGCGCCCCACGCTCGCAGCATGACGTTGAGGAGGAAAACGACCTTCCACACCTCGATGCCCATCGTCTCCGGCTTGATCCTCTGCCAGCGGGTCACGGGCCTGTCTGCGCCCTCGCCCTCCCTCGGTCGCAGGGCAAAACGCACTCCATTGGCTGCCGCGAGGTCGCGCGAGCTGGCGGACAGCACGACGTCTTGCTCTACGTTGGCATCTGCCTCGACGGGAAGCACCACGAGCTGGCGAGAGCGGCGAGAGGAAGAGGCGGCCGGCGCGTTGGTCAGGTGGCCCAATAGGGCATGGTCGTGGTCGTCGCCGGGCAGGTAGAAGGCGGCGCGTCCCTCGGACGTCCTCGCGACGGGTAGACGAGCCTCTCCAAGGCGAAGGCCGATCCCAAAGGCGTGTAGAGGCTCTGCCAGCTGCGGGGCCGTGTCCTGAGCACGAAGAGCATCGCGCAGAGCGTCGGCACGGCTTGGCGAGAGTGGAACGGGCGGGTCCTCGATCCAGTTGATCATCTGGACGGCGTTGGCTGCCCGCTGCGTGGCGTTGAGACGGCTTGGGACGCAAGGAGGAATAAAGTCGATACGGCTGCCGTCCGGGCTTGGGCTGGTACGTAGGTCGGCGAATTGGCAGAAGGGCACGACGCTGTTGCAGCCAGTGTGAGCGGCACGACCTGGCCAGAGGGCACCCTCGACGTCTGCGCTGCCGGGGAAGCCTGCGGCAGAGGCCATGGCGAAGAAGAGGACGCACAGGATCTGCTCATCCATCGAAGTGACCATGCGACGTGACTGGCAGGGGCCGAGGGGAGTCTCGCCTAGTGCAGCGACGTTGGCGCCCGTGAGTTCGTGAGCCAGAAGCTCGTACCAGTGGCCTACGTTGTCGAGCTCGAGGTTCTGCGGCGTCTGCGTGAGCACAAAGTGAAGCGCTGCGGGCGTGGCGTGGCGTGTACGGGCAGTCAGCTCGCGCGCGCTCTCATCTCGCATCGCCTCGCGGCATCACGTCCGCGCTACTCACTCTCGACGGTGTTGCGACGGTACAGGTTTGACTGCCCGTACTGGAAACGGGAAACCTCGCTTGGCCTGAGGTTCTCTTCGGCCCAACGCAGCTCCCTGAAGCGGGCAACGTGATCCCTGTGCCTGTCCGCCATTGCTTGGTCCCACGTCGCCCCGACGTAGACGGACATCTGCAGCCTCCCCTTGCGGTCTCTCCAACGCACGACGATGAGATAGGTCCCCGTGCCCGTATGATGCCTGGCGTCGAGGTGTGGAAACGCTGCCAGCAGCGCCTGGTATTCCTCCCACGTTCGACAGTACAGGACCGCCTTTGAAGCCAGCCTCGCCATCATCCCCGTCGCCTGCTCCTCGTCCGTCATCCCGCACGCATACCTGACCATCTCTATGCCTGAAATGCAGCCCTCATGATAGCGCACCCGTACCTTGCGCTTTGCAACGACGCTCGCGCAACGCAGCTCGTGCCAGACGAGGTTGTTGCCTGCAGAGAATGTAGGATCGCCACGCCTCCTCATCTCCTCCACCCCTGTAGCCTCCAGAGAGCGCACGTCGCCGCGATGGAAGAAGTTAGGCTGTGTGACGTCGGCGCGAGCTTCGCGAATAGCCTGGCCCGTCCTTGCTGCCCTGGCCGCCGGTACGAGGCGAGATAGGATCGTCTCGTCCTCCCATCGCCTCTGATCTTCGCCTTGACGTTGCCCAGTCCTTGTTTGGCGTTGCGATGGGGGCGGAGGAGGCATCGTGCGGGCTATGCGCTGGGCCAGGATCTCGGCGGCGGCTCGTACAGCTTCCTCGTCGTCGTCGTCAGATCCAACCAATGGCGCAGCATCCTTGGGTGGCCATGCGGGCGTGAGAGCGGGCGGCGCGGGCGGCGTGGGCGGCGTAGGCGACGTGGGCGGAGTACTCTGCTCAGTCTGCGACGAAGGAGCCACGTCATCGTCATTGCAGGAAAGGCCGCAATGACCGGGAATACGAGAGTGAGAACAGGGATAGGATGGGGGTATCTCTATGTAGAAGTCGGAGGTTGGCGGGGCGCGGAGTGAGGGCGAGGAAGCAGAGGAGGAACGAGACGCGGAGGAGGAAGAAGTAGCGGCGACGCGCGGAATCTCCGGCTGTAGAGAAGAGGGAGAGGCGAAGCGGGCGTGTCGCGATGTCGAGCCCTTCGGGAGTGAGCTCAAGATTGAGGGACGAGAGGTGAACTCGTCGTCCGATGAGGAAGGGCCAGGCGGTGGGCGGGCGGCCTTGCGTGGCGGGCGGGGTGGCTTGATGGCCGGGGCTGAGGGGATGTCCTCGTTGCTGCTGCTGCTGTTGTGCTCGATAGCACGCTGCTTGCCCTTTTGCGAGGCAGGAGGGGCGCCAGGCGAGCTCATGAGCTCGTCCGATGAGGAGGGGTCAGGCTCGCGGCGGGATGGCTTGCGGGGCGTGCGAAGCGTGCGTGGTGGATTGATGGCCGGGGCTGAGGGGACGTTCTCGTCGCTGCTGTTGCTCTTGTGCTCGATGGCGCGCTGCTTGCCCTTGTCCGAGGTAGACTGGACGTGGGAGGAGGGAGGAGGGGCGCGGGGCGAGCTCATGAGCTCATCCTCTTCGTCTGTATCTGGTTCTGCCTTGATTTTGCGACCCAGCTGGGCCAGGGAGGCAGCTTGATCGTCGTGCGTGTTGTCTTGCGCGTTGTCCCTGTCGTCCTTGCTGTCCTCGTCGCCCTTGTCTTCGTCCTTGACTTTGTGCTCGCCCTCCTCGCCGGCCTCCTCTTGGTCCTCCGCCTCGTCGTCCGAGGACAGGCCATCATAGTACGATGGCCGAGTCGCTCCACCTCTCAGACCTTCGCGCTTCGGAGGCTCCCTCTCGACTTGCCTCTTGCGCTTCTTCTTCTCAGCCCTGGCGTGCCTCGTACTGAGCAGGCCCGATCCTCCATATATGCGGGTTGTCGACGAGCTGGTTGAGGGAGGTGTGGGGGTGGTGGGCGGGACGCGGAAGGAGAATGATGTGGCGGCGGGCGGCGAAGGGGCGGGAGGAATGACGAGGTTTCGGGGAGGCTGGGTCCCGCGAGGGAATCTCCAGACCTTTGCCAGGCCGAACTCGATTTCGCCTGGCAGAGGGGGTGGGGTGATCGGCGCAGCGAGGAAGATGTCGACCTCGTCGCTCTCTTGGCCATGGAGAAGGAGGGAGAGCGGGCCGATCTCATTCGCTGGCAGGTGGTACAGTTTCTTCGGGTCTTGATCGAAGCCCGGGGGAGTGAGAGAGGCCAGCCAGCGGCGGATCTCGAGGCCAATTAGGTGGCCAGAGGGAGGAGGAGCGGGAAGGTCATCTTTGTATACGATCGCGTGGTCGAAACCGCCGGCGGGAATGATAATCGCGAAGGGGGGCATGATGAGGGAGGCGTGGGCTGATAGGGAGGCGTGCGTTGGTGGGGAGGCGTGCGTTGATGAGGAGGCGTGCGTGGACGTTGATGGTAAGGAGGCGTGGATTGATAGGGATGGTAAGGAGGGTAAGAATGAGCTCCGCGCAGGCTGAGCGTCGTGCAAGAGCAGGCGGGCCTCACAGGCTGGCTTCAGCGCCGGCCATTGGGGCGGATGGGCATCTCTCGCCTCGGCAAGCGTGTGTGGCTGCGTGGTTGCCCTTTTGCCGAGCCCTAGGGTGCTTGCTTGACATCTCGGGTTGCGTCGTGAAGCGAGCCAGTCGACGGTGTCTTTCCCTCGACGCAAGCCTCCCTTTGCTTTGCCTGTCCGTTGCTCCATCGAGCTCGCCCGGTCGCTTAGTCACCTACTGTGATTGCCTGCCGCTCGCGCCCCGTTCTGGCCTCCCGCCGCCTCTGCTTCCGCCTCCCGCTCTCAGGTACGGGGCGGGCTGATATGGACGCGATGCCACCGCTCATCAACGAGCGGGGCGAGACGAGACGATATACGAGATTGGGAGACGGGCGACGTCTTGCCTTCGCAAAGTCCGCAACAATGACACCCTCTCCCTCATCCTCGGACGACGAGTTTGCACACCGCAGTGGCACCAGTCAAAATGCTTCCAGAAGGCGCCCCCGAGCGTCTTCTTCTTCCTCTTCCTCTGGCTCCTCTAAGCCGCCTCAGAGGAAACAGGCCACCGACCAGTCGTTGCCGCAGCAGGACGTCGCGAGCATAGCCAGAGCAGCCAGCGTAGCAAGCGCCGCGAGCGCAGCCAGCGTCGCGGGCGTCGCGAGCGACGCGAGCGACGCGAGCGACGAAGGGGAGGACGCCAAAATCGACGGGCTAAATGCGTCCACAACGCGAGTCCTTCGCGAAAAGCCCTGGGAGAAGAGCACCGTTCCACCGTCAGTCAAGTTGCCCAAGGCCATGGACCAGCTGTGCCCACCAGAGATGAAGGAGGCTGTGCGGTGGGCGAGGTGGAATGAAGACGGCGAGGCTTGCTTGGACCCACGCAGATATGAGTTTGTCTTCAAGGCAACGGACGGATCCGTACTCTGGGCACGAGGTTGTGGGCTTTGCGAGCCCGATGAGGTGTGCAAGGTGGCAGGCAACAAGCCTTGCGCCAAGTGCGCGATCAAGAGCAAGTCTTGCTCCGCCGGTCTCGACCGTAAGTGGTCTTGCTGTCGACGTGGTGGCGGCGTGCGCTAAAATCCCCCCCACGCACCCCCCGCAGTCTCCAACAAGTTGACGCTCGCCTTCATCGTCTGGCTCATCAACCATCTCGTGGCCATCAACGACGGCGTCGCCTCGTACGCTGCCATTGGCGTCGAAGGGCTCAAGAAGACCTTTACAAACAAGACGGGGCTACAGCCGACGAAGCAGGGAGCCCGCAAGGCCGCAAAGGAGGGGATTAACGATGGGAGCGGGTTCACAAACCCATTCAAAAAGCCCGTACCGCGCTCGACCTACTCACAGAGGGCTAGAGCCGAGGAGGTCCAGGAAATCTACTGGGCAGAGAGGACGGCCTTTGCCATGGCCCATTACCTTCGCAATCTTCGCCACGCTGCTGGTATGCAGCATCGCAGGCTGTATGGCCAATGGCCCCAGCTCGACGACCCAGAGCCTGATGAGCCTCATGGCAGGCAGCCGACTCTGTGGGCCGAGGACCTCTTTGCCGGGGAGGACGAGGAGGAGGAGGGCGAAGGCGGTGAGGTCCGTAGCGAGCAAGACGGCGGCGGCGATGACGAGGACGGCAGCGAGGTAGGAGGATGCAGCAAGGAGGACTTGCGAAGGGCTGATCCTCGAGGAGAGGGACAGAAGAGATGGGCGAAAATCCAAGCTCATCGCTCCAAGGCTGCAAAGGGCAAGACGAAGCCCAGCGGCGCATTGGTGAGGAGGGACAAGAAGAGAAAGGGCGGCGAGGAGGCTGCGGAAGAGGCAATGGACGAGGAGGCCTGAGCAAGGCGTGAGCGAGGCGTGAGCGAGGCATGAGCGAGGCGCAGAGTATCACTTCGCTGTACCTTTCATCGCCATCATCACCTAATCACCACTCACGCACCTAATCACCACTCACGCACCTAATCACCACTCACGCACCTAAGCACCACTCACGCACCTAAGCACCACTCACGCACCTACTCACTTCGAGCCCGCGACGCGCCCGCAGCCGTCTTGTGTCCGTTCCGTATCTCTTTGGCGGCCCGTCATCGTCGTAAGTCCATCCGCCGTTGCTCCGCGCGCCGCTCCTTCGTTCCTTGCCTTCCTTCCATCTTTGAGATCCGTTTTGCACCACCGAACGACAAAGCAATGCAACCCTCCGACGCCTCCGCCTCCGCCTCCGCCTCTTCCCGCGCAAAGCGGCCTCTCGCTCTGGCCATTGAGTCAGACGCGTTCATCGCTGTTGACGGCAGCCCTCACATTTCATACCAGACGGCCAAAGGACAAGAGTTCAGCAGAACTTTCGTCGGCCGAGAGCCATTTTCAAGCCAAGTAGTCTACACGGAGACGACACTGGACGCCCGTCTCCGACTTCCATCCTCTACAATCATTGTTCCCATCGCAAACCCAGATGGCGTACCGGAGGCCGCCGTCTCCCTCGGACGATCGGCGGTGCCTTCGATCTGGTTTCCTCTCTTCGGAAGCGAGGAGCGGAAGAGGCCGAGGACAATGAAGCAGCCTGCGGCTGCACCAGGGGGCGAAGACAGCGGCCATCAACAGCAGGGAGGACCGACAGGCGGGCAGGAGGGAGGAGGGGCGGCGAAGGGAAAGGGAAGGGCTACCGAGGGAGCCCTGAAGCCTGCCGTCCCGATAGATGTCAATGAGGCTGCACACTCCTATTGCAGTCGACACTTCTCCGGCAAGCGAGAGACGCCAATGAATGGACAGTGCGGCATAGCCGCCATCCTGATGGGACTCGGCGCTGAGCCAACGGCGGAGAAGATGGCTGCCTTCCGTCGCAAGTTGCAGGCCTGGATTGCGGAGCCAAAGAACCGCAAGGAGCTTCCAGGGATCGCCGCCATCCTGGAGAGCGACCTCGACGACATCATCGTACCCGATGACATCCTCGAGCAAGTTGGCAAAGGTGGTATGCTGCCCGCCAAGTACTGGCTCAGGTCTTCTTGGCTCCCGCCCGTGGCGCATATGGAGGAGGTTGTCTTGTCCGTGCTGGACCTGAAGCATGGACCCAAGGCATCCTACACCATCGCGCCGATAAGGATCAACAAGATCCCTATGCGTCCGCGCATTGTCCTCATTTACGACCAGGACAAGGCGCATTGGGAGCTGGGCAAGATTGGCGGCAGCCACGACGGCGACAACGACGACGACCACGACCACGACCACGACCACGACGACGCCTTTCGCTTCCCTGCGCCGCCTCTGAGGATTCAGCACCTCGGGGACAAGGCGGCCAAGTACATCGGTGCGAGCTACCACGACAGGCTCCACATGACCCTGTCAATTGAGACACGGGTGCAGCCTGGCTCGAAGGAAGCCGATGCACTAAACGCCATCTGTCACTGTCTCGCTCAGCCTGGCATCCCGGACCCCAACATCATCGATGTCGACAAGTCCGCTGCGCAGGCGAGCAAGGGCAAGGTGGCGGCGAGCGCGGCGAGCGCGGCGAGCGGGGCGAGCGGGGCGAGCGCATCCACGTCGCAGCCAAAGGCGACGAAGATGGCAGCCCTCGAAGCTCGCCGAAAGGATGCGTCTGGGTCGGCAGTAGCGTCAGGGTCGGGGCCAGCGTCTAGCTTGGGCGCAAAGGCGGAGAGGCCCAAGCCCAGGCCCTCCGTTTCAAGCCGCAACCAGGAGGAGGACGAGGAGTGGACGCCGGCGAGCGAGAGGAGGGTAACGAGGAGCAGGTCGACGACCCCGGGGATCAAGGCCCCCAGCAGGCCTACTACGCCTGCTCCGAGCACGCCTGCGGGAAGCAAGTCGGCAGCAATGAGAGGAAAGGGCGAGTAGATGGGGCGGAGGAGGAGGCGGGGGCGGCAGAGGTGGAGGAGGATGAGTAGGACGAGGAGGCGTGGCAGCGAGGCGACGTGGCGGGGTAAAGTTGAGAGGTGAAAGGGGTGGAAAGTATGGGGCGTCTTTTAGTCAGGTCGTCTTTCAGTCATCAAATCTCTTTGTCCATGTGACGTGCTCGCTCGTGGGCAACAGGGCACATTCACCAACGTGCTGTATGGCAGCGGAGGCTAGTCTAAGCCTCGAGTCTGCGCGGGGCTCGATCTGCGAGATGCATTTGGCGCCGCGCTGCATGACTGCATGCACCAGGGGCGCCGCGCCGGTTGCGCACGGACCGCTCCAGCGCGGCGCCCCTGGGAACCCAGGTGGAGACGGGCGGGCAGGCGGGCGGGCGGGCGGGCGGGCGGGCAACCGTACCGCTCAATCCATCTCATCTCATGGTATCATCCATTCTAATCAGAGCTCCTCGCTCGTCGCTCGTCGCTCGTCGCTCGTCGGCCGACGTTCGCTGCTCGAGCAAGGCAGGGAGCGGAGGAGCAAGCCACCAACAAGACGTCGGGGGCCGGGTCGAGGATGGAGGGTCACGACACGGTAGCAATCTCATGCCGTGCCGTCGTCGTGATCGCGCGCTGTGATCTTGGGCCGTGCCGCCCGCTGCTGCATCTCTCAACTTTTCTCCATACCACGCCCTACGCCCTCCTGCCATGCCCTCGTCGTCGTCTTCTTCTTCTTCCAAGAGGGGCCCCGACGATGGCGACGAAGGCCACTCGTCGCAGCGACGCCGCTTTGACTGGACCGACTTTCTCGATCGTCATCTGCAAGCCGCCAGCTCAGTGACCGCATATCTCCCTCCCCCTGGATCTACCGACGAGTCCGTCCGCATCACCTGGTGTCCTGGCGGTGCCTCTCGCAGCCAAGAGGTTGCTACAAGCAAGGGTCGGGCTGCGTCGTCGGACGGGCAGAACCGCGATGACAATCAGCAAGACGGCAGTAGCGGCGGCAGCCATGAACGCAACGCTACGCACGGTGGTGAGGCGAGTCGCGATGGTGACGATGGCAACGGCCAGGGCAGCAGCGGCAAAGGAGGCAACGGCCAAGGAAACAACGGCCAAGGCAGCAGCGGCCAAGGCGGCAACGGCCAAGGCGGCAATGGAGACGAGCACAACGAGCGCGACAATAACGACGAGCGTGACAACGTCCGTACCGCGAAGCCCGGATGCATCGTCAACGCAGTGCACGAGGTAGACGATGCCGCCGTCGAGGCCATCACCGGCGTCATCCAACAATCCCAAGAGACGAGCAGCAGCGACCAATCCCGAGGGTTCAGCACAGACGACGACGATGGAGAACAAGGCTTCAGCTTTGACGCTGGCACAGACGACGACGATGGACAGCAAGACTACAGCTTTGACGTCTTTCATGATGACGCGCCTGACGTTGTTCATGACGACGCGCCTGACCTGGACGACACCGATCTCAACGTCTCTGCGCCCGACGACACCGCGCCCGACGTCGCTGCCCTCGACGACACTGCGCCCAACGAGCTCGAGGCTACGCACATAGAGGCTACCGACAACACAGCTCCCCTCGAGACGCCCTCTACGACGCACACGCAAGCGATTCGCACCTTTGCAGAGCAGAGCGTACAGACGGATCCTCTCGAGCCTCTCGAGCCTCACGAACGTACCGCACCTCCCCCGCCTCTCTCTGGCCCCGCGTCGCGCACGCAGACGTACACCAAGAAGCGTGTGGTCCGCATCGACGACGAAGAGGACAAGGAGGCTTATCTTGCTCGCCACGTCAAGGAGGGATCCATCGTTGAGACGGAATGTGGCTGGACCGCGCTTGGACGTCTCTTTGGCCTCGACAGCTTTGCTTTCAGAGTCAAGACGCTGCGGTGGGTCAAGCAAAACGAGGCAGTCATCGCGAAAAAGCTGCCCCTACTCAAAAGGGCCAGACTGGCGAGGATCAAGGACAACATCTTGCCTGGCGGCAACGACCTCGAATTGGACGACGACGGGGACTTGTCCGACGTCGTCGCCTCTGTCAATCACCTCGAGAAGAGCTGCGATGGGCCAGAGCACCGCCTCACTCGCGACGTCATCGCCATCGTTGCAGAGATGGAAGAGCGAGTCCTTGCCTGCCTTTCGCGCAAGGGTCCGAAGCACTCTGGGACTTACCTGCCCCGCAAGATCACTCGCAACGACGCGAACATCCAAGACGCAGTCGTACTCGTGACCGATGGCGAAGACAATGGCTTTGCCTTGGCAGAGCACTCCAAGGACGTCGCCTTCCCTCCAGTCATCACCGTTTACTGGCAATCCACAATCACGAGCGTCATTCGCAGCGAGACGCATCGTCGCATCCACAAGGAATACTGGTTTGAGACTCGTGCGATGGCAGGCAAGCGTGGGGCCACCAAATGCCTCTGTCACTCTGTGGAGAGGCAGAGAAAGGAGGCTCAACCTCGATCCAGGTCCACGACGGCCGTCGTCGAGGCAGGCGAGGGAGGCGGGGGAGGTGCGGGAGGTGATGCAGGCCGCGGCAGCGATGCAGGCGAGGGCAGTGATGATGGCAGCAGCGGCAGTGGGGAAAGCGAGGAGGAGGAGGATGAGTAGGGGTCTCATCAAGGCGTTACACGCGGCCTCTTCAATCAAATCGCTCTTGACCATCTCATGGCGCAGGGTGGGACGCGAAACAACTTGTATTCGTGCGGGGTGTAGATGCGTGTGGTGTCGGGGTGTAGACACGACGCGCTAGCCATGATGTAGCTTATACAGGCCGTTGAGACCCTCCGCGATGCGGTCGAGCCAGATCTTCTCTCCAATATCGGCACGAAAGCTTGCCTCCTCGATGCTCGCCAGGTCCTCTACTGTGGGTGGGATCCGAAGCTCGAGGTGGGCTCTCGTCGTGCGAAGGGCTTTGGCGACGCGGCCGGGCGAAGGAGCTGCAGAGGCGTCACGCTTGGCTCCGAGTGTAGAGCGTTCAGACTTACGCAGCTCTGGCTCCACGGAGCGGGCCGTAAGCGCCTGCAAGAGGGTGCTTTTGGGCTTCGAGCTGCTTGCAGTTGATGACGAGTCTGCGGTGGAAGGCGAGGAGGCGGCTGGAGCTGTGCGGGCGCTTGCTGCTGACTTTGCAGGGGTAGAAGCTGGTGTAGCGTTGAGGCTGGCTGCCGTCTTGAGCGCCAAGGCCTTGTGCGCCCGTTGAGAGGGCAGGTAGCCTTTCGAGGAGGGTTGCGAGTGTTGCAGAGAGGGCTGCGAGGGCTGCGAGGGCTGCGAGTGTTGCAGAGAGGGCTGCGAGGGCTGCGAGGGCTGCGAGGGCTGCCGCGAGGGCTGCTGCGTTGGCTGCTGCTTTGGCTCCTTGCTTGGTATGCTGGGCGAGCCTGGCAAAGGTGGGCGCGGCTTTGAAGGATCCTGTCGTTGGTGCTGCTCTCGTAGCGGTTGCTCTCGTTGCGGCTGCTCTCGTTGGTGCTGCTCTCGTTGCGGCTGCTCTCGTAGCGGCTGCTCTCGTGTCTGCTGCTCTCGTGTCTGCTGCTCTCGCTTCTGTTGTTCTCGCGGCTTCTGCTCTTGTGACTGCTGCTTCTGTGGTTGCTGCTCCTGTGGCTGCTGCGGGCTTTGTGGCTTCTGTGGGTCCCGCGACTGCTGCGACTGCTGCGACTTCAGCAACTGCTGCGACTCTCGCGACTCCCGCAACTCCTGCTGATCATGCTCCTCATGCTTCTCACGCCCCTCACGCCCCTCACGCCCCTCACGCCCCTCACGCCCCTCTCGCTCTGCATTCGACGGCTTGAGGAGGATGCGGTAGGAGCGAGCGACTGCGAGGAGGAGGGCAACGGGTCAGCCTCGTCTTTACTCCTCCACACTAGCCGTCCCAGCTCGCACCTTGCTGAGCAGAAGTCTCGGCAGCTTCTTTGCCCGCCTGTACGCCGCTGCCCTCGCCAGGCATATCGACGATGAAGGGTGGGGATTGGGCAGCGCCGTAACCCTCTGGCTTCTTGCCATTGCGCTTGCGACTGCTCGACTTCTTGCCTCCTCCAACGCTCATGGCGACGATGTGGGGTAAGGAAGCGAGGCAAGATGTGAGATGCGGGAGCGGCAGCGCGGAAGACACAGATCAGCCCGCTACATCCGCCGCCCCGCCTCCCCGCCGTGGTGGTCAATCCGCCTCCCAAGGCTACCATCGCGACGCGACGCTGCCGCTCACCATGTCTGGCTTTGCAGAAAGCACGAACCGCTGCGTGTAATGTGAAGCTTGTCGATTCAGAGTGATGGATCAGCAGGAAGAAGCTGAGAAGAGATACAGACTCGAGCTCAAGAGACCAGATAGGGGCAAAGAAGGGGTCTGAGCGCAGGCGAGTGTAGCCGAGCCAAAGCTCAACACCGCGCTGGCGTACACGCTCAGCCCTAGACGTGGGACGTCAGGCAGAGACCGCGGCAGATGTGCCACTGAGGAGGGCCACGATGATGTCAATTCCCGACCCAAGCGCTCAAGAGCTGATGCAGGATCCTGAGGAGGGCAAGGAATACGCTGAGAAGGGCGAGCAAGGCGAGCAAGCAGGCTAGAAGAGGGCGACGAGAGGCCACGAGAGGCTACGAGAGGTCTCGAGAGGCCACGAAACACGAAGAGACGCGAGCGCAGGCACTGACAGAGGCAAAGCCCGTCGGCGACGTCATGTTGGAAGCGGGCCGTCTCGACAGGCCGCCTCGGATCTCACCGTCCATTTCACGAAAAGTCCCGGCGATACAGGCCGAGATCCGCGCATCGTGGCTCAACGATACGGCAGAGATGGAGCCCGGGAAGCGGGCGAGCTGTTCGGTGCGCGTTCTGGTGCGCTGCGCCCTCGTCACGGTCGTACACGATCAAAGACAGGAGACAGGTGCGATGCCAAGATGCAATGGGTGTAGCGCTTCACTTCACGACCGCTGCGCAGACTGATCATCGCTCCCGATCTCCTACCTCGCCTCGACGATGGCGAGATGGGGTGCAAGGACCTCCTCGAAGGACGATGGCTGCCTGGATTCAAGGGTACACCACGGCGGACCCTGCACCGTCCTTCCTCTGCGACGTCGTGGCTTCTTTGAGACCAGGTCGCAGTCGTGGCTTGGATTGCGGGCGGCCTCGAGCGTCGAGCGGCCGGCTTGGGTACCGTAGAGCGTCGAAGATTGGGAGGCAGGAGTAGGCGGCTTACCTCGATGAGCGTCGCGCGTCGCGCGTCGCGCGCGCCATCCCCCCTTGTTGGCGTCATCACTTTGGCGGCCTCCCCTGCGAAGAGAACACCTCGTCGCACCCCCAATTTTCGATCTTGCAGAGACAATACGATGGCAAAACAGCGCACCGAGTTTCGAGTTGTGTTGCATTGCGGTGAGATGTGTTCGCGCGACCGGCCTTGCATGGCGCGCCGGGTCCAAGGCACCGCCTCGCACTCTCTTCTCGCACGCTGCGGCAGACTCTTCGCTGCCTCTCTTCGCGTGCGCAGCCTCTGCATTACGCTCTCGGGCAGATCTCACGCAGTGAAGAGGATGCGGACAGGGTATGGTGGGATTGTGGCATCTACATCTGGTAGGAGGGCGCGGGCGGCCTCACGCCGCCGCTGCAGCCTCAAACCACCTTCGGCGGAGCATTCATAAGCGTCATCTCGCTGCGTCTCTTCCTCAAGCGTGCCAGTCGTTGCTCCTTGTCCTCCTCGCGCTCCCTCTCCTCGTCCTTCTCTCCCTCTCCCGCTCTCTTGCCTGCTCCTCTCGCCTCGTGCTCCGCAACCTTGCCCAGCCGCAGCGCAATCCAAAAGGAGAGAGAGCGCGTTCCCTTCTCATCGGCCTGCCCCTCTCCTGGCTCCTCCGACTGGCCAGGCTCGACCCGGTACGAGAACGTGACGCGCAGGGGCACTTCCACTTCGCCGCTCGCCTGAGCCCCCACACTGAGTCGCAAGGCCACGACTGTTTCGTTTCCTTTGCGCCTGATGACCCCGCGCGAGCCGGCCTGCTGCTGCTGCTGCTGCTTCCCGTCTCCCGCGTTGTCCTGCCCCTCCTCTATGTCCTCGACGTCCTCAAATCCCGCCTCGTCGTCCTCCTCGTCGCCGCGGCCCAGCCCGAGTAGGTCCGAGTCGATTACGTCGACGACGTCGTCGAAGGGCTTGACGGTGAAGCGCGAGGTGGAGAGACGGGCGTTCCACCCCTGTGCGACTGCACCATGCCCGCCGCCTCCGCCGGTGGTCAGACGCACTCGAATGGCCTCCTCGAGCGGGTTACGCACGGCCAGCTCGTACTCGTACTCCCCACCGCGAGCCAAGTGCTCCATTCCCGCGCCCACGCCCGCGCCCGCGCCGTGTCTCGCTCCTCTAAAGCTGCACCCGACCTCGGGCAGATAGTTGAGCGCGCTGAGCTTGATCTTCCACCTGTGGCTGGTAGCCTTCGGGTCCGGCTTGATCAGGATGTGCCTGCACGTCGGGCAGCGTAGCGTTTTCTTTGTGGTGAGGGGGACGCGAGCTGGTGTTGCGGTGGAGTGAAGGCCAGGTGACAAGGATGGGCCAGCGTGACGGGCCAGCGCTTCTTGCTCGACTTGGCGTGAGAGGGCCGCGCCTTCGCTGCGATACGCGGGCAGGTCCTCCGTCGCCGCTGGAGGGAGTGGGCCGCTCAATCCCAGCGCGGCGCCACCTCCTCGTCGCGAGCCGGCCAGATACTTGGATGTCGCGGGATCGCCTAGTCCTGGGATGTCTCGGACAAGCTTGCGGCTGCTCGCGCTCGGGGGGAGAGTCGTGGCGGTGCCTTGCGGCTGCTGCTGTTTGCGCAGGAAAGACTCGAAGTGAGAGCGTAGACGATCCATCTCCTCTTGCAGCGGGTGGGGACCTCGTTGCGCTTCCAGTTGTGCTGCCAGCGCGAATGACGAGTCGGGAAAAGAGAGAGATCAGCGTCGCGATATCTCACGCCCATCGTTGCCGCCCGCGCAGACGCACCGCTCACGCCCGTGGGCTTCTCGAACACCTGCCCTTGTGCTCGCGAGTCCCACTTGCATCTTGCACAGCTGAGAAAGTAGGGCGGTCTTCCCACGCTACTCTCCGGCGCCTCCAGCCTCCCCATCCCCGTAGCGGCAGGGTCGCTGGCCACCACGCTGAGATACGCTCCGCATCCTCGCTGCGGGCAGAGAAAACAGTTCCTTGGACATCGATTCCGCTCAGCTTTCACCGAGGCGGAGGGGACCTCGAAGAGGCAGGCGGGACAGTAGTGCGTGATGACCTCCTGCGTGGCGCAAAGCGAGCAGCGTGGAGTGAGGCAGTCGGAGCAGAAGTGGAGGAGCGGGAGCGGGTGGAAGGAGTAGGAGGAGGCGGCGAGTTGCGAAGGGAGAAGGGGAGTTGCGCTGCTGCTGGAGGTCGTGGAGCCTGCGTTGGCGGAGGGAGCTAGGCCTAGTGCGCAGGGACAGTGGTATAGGACGCGTGGATTGGGCATGTCGCCCAAGGATGGACGTTATGGAGTGAAGTCAAGATGTGCAAGCTGCGCCCGGCGGAGTGAGAGCAAACCAACACCTCGCACGACGCACGCACGCACGCACGCACGCACGCACGCCCTTCCGCCCCACGTGGCGCGCATGACTGCCACTCCACGCACCGTTCGCTCGCAGGCTTGACTATGGTACATTATGGCTCAGAAGAGATCGCTCGCCTTTACTCTCACCCCAGCTGCCGCCTTCTCGCGTTTCTCGCCCTTCTCCGCAGGCTTTGCCTTCTTCTGCGCGACAGGGCCCTCCTCCTCGCCCTCCCCATCCAGATCAAACGTCAGCGCTCCCCTGCTTGCTTTGGCCTTCTTGCTCTTCTGCTTCTTGCCCTCTTCGGCGCGCGGACGACTACGCTTGTTGGCTGCTGCCCCACCCGCATCCGCCTCGCTCTGCGTCTTAGCACGAGGGACAAAGAGGGGGCGTTGCGCTTCATCGAGGACGGGAAGAGTCGTCGTGGCCGTCGCCGTGGCCGTCTTGCTCGACCACTCCCCCCCCGCGCGGTCTAGGCGGTCAACCTCCTTCCTCTCCATCCCCATCTCTTGCCCATTCTCCTCCCCGTCGCTGTTGCCGTCCTCCTCACCATCACTCTCAAAAACGGCCCTAAAAACCTCCCTACCCGGCCGAACGCCCCGCTCAATCTCGATCAACTGCTCCTCGTCCCCCTCACCCAGCCCCACCTGCTCTAAGCTGCGCACCACCCTTGGCTCCTCCGCCTGCTCCTTCTCCGCCGTAGCGAGCGGCTGACCCTCATTCTTGTCCTCCCATCGTCGTTCCCCCGCGCGACTGAGCAGCTCGCGTCGACTAGACTCCCAACGTGCTTCCCCCCTAGCAATCTCCCGACGAGCGGCGGATCGTTCCCATTTTTCCCCGCTCTTCGGTCCTGCGTCGAATGGATCCCCCTCCCCTTCCTCTGCGTGCGGATGTTCACGCACCTCACCCTCTCCGCTGCTAGGCCCAGCGCGCTCCGGGTGCGGATCTGCCACCCCGAATCGCTTACAGAGCAACTTGGGCGGGAAGAAGGGGACAACCCGCCGCGTCCTACCCGACCCAAACAGCCCAGCCTTGGCCGCCTTTTGCTCGTCGCTCCTTTCCTCCTCCCTCGCTCGCTCAGCGCGCAGTCTCTCCTCTTCCTCTCGCCGCTTGCGCTCCATCTCCGACTCCTCTCGAGAGCGCGGGGTAGGTTGGTAGAGACCCGGAGTGGGCGCGGGGACGTCCCCTGCTCCCTGCGTCGTGCGAGCGGGGGCGAAGCGAGATGCCATTGTGGCGCTCAGTGCCGAGGTTGTGGGCTTGGGTTTGGTGGCCAGACGCGCGAATTTCTCCAACTCGGCAAGGGCCTCTTCGACGGTTCGGCCGGGAGGGAGGGGCATGCGCGCTGGCTCCTCGCTCCCGCTCTCGCTAGATTCGACGATCCTCTCCAGGAAGCAGACGTAGCGCTTCTGCTTCTCGCTGTCGTTTCCGAAGAGACGTGCGTGGTGGTCACGCAGCGCGACGCGCGCTGTGGCTGGGTCGAGGCGAGGAAGGGGGATGGTGGAAGTCGCAGCTTGAGTTGCGGTCGAGGATGACATGTAGTTGGCTAGACTGGGCGGAGGACCGGGCATGGGAGCCTCGCCGAGGATTTGCGCCCTTCCTGCGGCATCGCGTTGCGGTTGGCGTGACGACGAGGTTGCTGCTGCTGCTGCGGTGTCTAGAAAGGGTGCTGGGGGAGGGACGGAGGCTTTTGCGCTTCCCCACACCTTGAAGGGGTCGGGCTTCCACCCGTCGGGGACTTGAGGAGGGGGAAACCAGTCGCGTGCGTGTGAGGCCGATTGAATAGTCGCTCTATCGTTGTTGTCGTCAATCACGGCCTCGAGCACAAAGCCAGGTGGTAGGGCCTTGCCGTCTCGCCAGCGCTGCTCGTTGCTGTCCGTGATCGAGGTGGAAGATGAAGCATCGCCGCGTGTCGGAGGGGCGCCCTGCTTGCCCTGCTTGCCTCGCCTTCGCTGGAGCGCGTCGCTCAGCGACTCGCTGCTCGAGTAGATGTCCGCCAGATCGTCCTCATCCTCCTCCTCGAGCACGGAGATGTCGAAGCCGCGTTGCGCAGACGTAGAACTCGACGTGGCTGCGGACGCGCCGCTCCCTCCGCGCCAGCCCAGCCCACAACTGTCCCGCTTGTCCAAGTCGAGCGTCAGCGCAGGCAGCGGCGTGTCCGGGGGCGGGATCAGCCCGCCACGCCCCACCGCAGCGTTGACCTGACTGAGCGCCAGGCCGAGCATACCCTCCAAGAGCGCACGCCTCTCTGCCTTTACTAGCGCGCCCAGGCCCTCGCCCGCCTTCCATCCCATTCGCGCCAGGATCTTGTGCCCGAGAGAAGAAGGGGGAGCTATCAAGCCCGTCCCCTCTCCCGCTGCGTCTACCTCGCCAGGGATGGCCCCCTTGCCCAAGCCTAACAGGTCACTCAAGACGTCCCCCTCTGCATGCCTGCTCTTCTCTTGCCCCGCACCAGCATATCCAGCTCGACTGCCCATCACGCGCGTCTCGTCCAGCTCCGCCAGGTCCTCATCGTCCATGAAATCCTCGGGTCGAGCCTCCCTCCTCTCCCCGCCGGTCCCCGCCCTGCGCGAAGAGGTGAAGGTCTGTGGCGTCCAACCCTCCTTGCTCCCCACGCTATTATAGTACCCGGCGGACCACCCGCCCGTAAAGGCACCGTGGAAGCGTCGCCTGCCTTGCTCGTCGCGCACCTCTTGCTCCCATGCCGGCTTGCCCTCGTTGGGGTCGCGGCCGCGGCCGACGAGGGGGGGAAGCGGCGTGCCGATCGTCACAAAGGAGGAGGGCTGCGCTGCGTGGTGGTGGTGGTCGTCCCGCGCCAGGCGGGCGAGGTGGCGGGAAGTCATGGCATTGAGTGGCGAGTGGGAGAGGCGAGGGGATGGTGGTGGTGCAGAGGAAAGATGCGAATGCAGCACGCACGGACGGACGGACGGAGAGGGAGGGGGCGGGGCGGGGCGGGGAGTCCACAAATCAAATCGGACCGGCGCCGCGTCAAAGATTATTACGGGGCGACTATTCAAGACCGAGGCCGGCCATTATAAAGTCGAAGCGCGGTTTAAGCTCCTGCCCCCTTTGTTCAGCCCTAATCTGATATGGTTTGAGCGTGAACGAGGAGGGAGAAGCACGCGCACTTTCCCAACCCTGAAAACGAGGCAGAGTTAGATTGCATGACGCGACGAGAGAGAGGGATCGACCCTTTCCTGACCAGCAATGCGAGCATCAAGGAAATGATAGGCCAAGCAGGGAAGTCGCCTCGCCCTTTCCTGACCCAAGAAAAACGCGCATCGCTCACGCTTTCCACGCTATCGTGCCTTTCCTTTGCAGCGTAGAGAGCGAGAAGACCCTGCGTTCCGTCGTGTCGGCAGGAAGACAGCTGAGAATGTGGTATGGCTGCCTTGTCTGAGTGGAAGGCAGGGCACGAGGCGGGCAGATTTCATTTCAATGGATGCGATTGACCGCAACGCAACGCAACGCAACTTGTATTCACCCGGGGAGCCAATTTGTATTCACTCCTTGACTTGTCATATTGAGAGGGGGAAACCGTAAATGCCGCGGGGCGGGGCTCGAGTCGTCCGTCGCTTGAGCTAGCTTTCAGCCGGCAGTCCGCGGCGCGGCAGGCGGGACTTGCGCTTGCGTGCGACACACTCTCATTTCCGCTGCTCCGAGTTGAGCTTGACTTGACTTGGCTTGACTTTCCCCGCATCCTTGTCCCGTCCCGTGGGCTGCTGCACGCACGTCGTCACGTCCCCTCCCTCTTTCCTCTTCGTCTCCCCGTGCCCTCACTAGTCGGCCCTTCATTCTCGCTCTTCTTCTTCACACATAGATAGAGGAACGGGTCTCGTCCGTCTCCACCACCACGGGCAGGATGGCTTCGCAGGGCACGTCATCGTCATCACCGCTCATCAGCTTCGTGCTCACCCCGGCCGAGCTGCGAGCCGTACAAGGTCGGCTGGGTCTCGCCTCTTCGTCCTCCTCGCGTTCATCCCCTCCCCGCCCCCCTCAAGCCGATACCACGACCTCATCCCTCAAATCCGCCTCCTTCTGGCTGCAAGACGCCAATCTACCGAAAACCACTCGAACAGCATCTCGAGCAGCGGGACTCGTCGTCGTGTTGCTGGCGCTGCTTCGTGGGGTTGGGCAAGGGGTCAGAGAGAGAAGGTCAGTCGCACGCCTGCCCCTTCCGTTCGAGTCGAATCTATGCCATGCTCACTCATGCTACCCTCGCGCTCTCTCGCCCTCGCTGCAGCCCGACAATCGCCCTCCGCCGAACGCTCGAGTCTACCACGAAGTCCCTCCGCCTCTTCCTCTCCATCTTCACCTACTCGACTCTCTATCGCTCAGCGCTGCATGCCCTCCTCCTCCTTCGATCGCGCATACTAGCCGACTCGACTTCGTACGCCCCGCGGACGGTGCACAGGGAGGAGGGTTCCTCTTCCTCAAACCGGGCCACCCTCACACATCGCACCCGCATTTACGCCCGCCTCCTCCGCGTGCTGAGAAGTAGCGCCACTCTCCCGCTCCTTTCGGCCCTCTTGGCCTCACCGGCCCTCCTTGCCCTCCTTCCTCCCGACGCAATCCCCTCTGCCTCGCTCGGACTCTGGCTCATCTCCCAAAGTAGCTCGACGGCCTACACGCGCGCGAGAGAGAGGGGGAGTCGTCTAGTCTCGTGGGTCCCGAGTTGGGCGAACAGTTCTCTCCTCTACGCTTTGGGCAACGGGCAGTTACTCTGGGCATTTTTGTTCGAGAGCACCACGTTTCCCCAGGGGTATAGGAACGTCATTCTCGCCCGATCGGGAACGTACATCCAGCCACGACCCTCGCATCTCCCCGCGGGCGTGGACTGGCCCAGCAAGGCGACCATTAGCGATCATGTGGCTTTACTCGCCACGCCGAGTGGGACGGCCAAGCCTTTCCCCTCTTTTACGTCGCCGCTCCTCTCGAGCCTCGGTGAGAAGGCTTCGCGCCACCCGACAACGCCGTACGGTGCCATCAACCCTATTCTGGACTACTCGCCCGCCCACCCAGCTCACACGCGCCTCATGTGCGCTATGCTCCACCCTCGCGAACCCTCATGTCGCACCACCCTCTGGAACCACTTTCGCGCCGAATGGCCAGCAAGCGCCCGATTCGCCGGTCTCTTCGCCCTCCTCTCCTCCCTCCTCTTCCGCGCAAAGAGCTGGAAGCGCGACCCAGAACGACAGCTCTTCAAGCTCTTCTCCGCCACCTTGCAAGGCGCCTCTGTCATCTCGGGTAGCATCGGTACGAGTTGGGCTTTAATCTGCTTCTTTCAACATTATCTCCCCGCAACCTTTTTGCCCCGCTCTCGCTTCTTCTTGAACGGGTTCCTCTCTAGCTTGATTTGGATAAAGGTCGTGCCGAGGGAGAGACGGAGGGAGTTGGGACTCTACACGGGGAGAATGAGCGTGCAGTCTACGTGGGATATTCTGGAGAGGCGAGGCATGGTCAAGGGAGTGAAGAGGGGAGATGTACTGGTGTTGGCGGTGGGGTTGGGGATGTTGGCTGCGTTGTACGAGGGTGGGCAAGGCGAGAGGGGAGGGGCGGGGGCGATCGCTAAGCGTCTGTTTGGAGAACGCATTCAGGGTGTGGGGGAGGAGGGAGAGGAGAGGAGGGGGGAGTGAGGCCAGGCGAGGCGGCGCGAGGCGAGGCCGTGTCGCAAATTGATCATCGATGGCGGTCTTCTTATTGTCGCGCGAGTGAGTAAGAGTGCATCGCTGCAGCTTCCTGTCCCTCTCGCGCAGCGCGTGGCCCGTGCGTTGTCGACGACGTCTTGGGACTCGGACTGGCTCGTCGTCGTCGGACTGGGACTCGCCTCGCCTCGCCTTCTCGCCTTTGCATCCTCACCTCTCGTGGAGGCCAGCAATCCCATCATGAGCCCCACCCCTTCCGTTCCCCCTGATGCCCACTCTTCAGCCCGCGCACAACGAGCGGCAGCCATCGAGGCTCGCCTAGCCGCGCAAGTTCAGACGCAAAGCCAGTCCAGCTCAGCGTCAGCATCAGCATCCGCTTCATCCTCATCGACAGGCTCAGCTCCCACCCCGGCTGAAGAGCACGACCTCCTCAAGAAGCTACGCCGCATCGTGGACCTGCAGATCATGCGGGACAATACGTACGACAAGGCACAGGAATGTATGGAGGTGCGTGAGCCCCCGTTCCCCTTCCACTGAGCCTCCCCCCTCGAGCTGACTGTATGCCCGCCCCCCTCTTGCCCCGCGACCAGACCCTGGAAAAGATCCTAAGCAACATCCTCTCCAACCCTACGGACCCCAAATATCGCACATTGCGCGCCACAAACCCAAAGCTGAAACGCTCCGTCCTCCTCGTTCCCGGCGGGAGTGACTATCTCCTCCACTCGGGCTTCGGGGTACGCACCGTAGAGTTCCAAGAGGAGTGGCATTGCGCTGCGAAGACCGATCGCAAAGTGCGGTTGGGTGTTGAGGTGTTACGCGCCAGGCTGGGAGAGGCGCGTGAGAGGAGTGAGGCGGCTAAGCGATACAAGGAGAGGGAGGAGCGCGAGGAGAAGGGGAGGGTGGGGAGGGTTTTGCAAGAGGCAGAGGAGGATAGGGAGAGGGTTAGGCGAAGGGTTGAGAGGGAAAGGGCGACTAGGGAGAGGGAGGCGCAGCAGCGGCAGGGACACGAGCGCGAGCACGAGCACGAGCAGGCTGGGTCCCTCGTTACACCTGGAGACTACGTAGCACAGGCAGAGGTACCCTTCGATGCGCCCAGTCATCGGGGCGAGGGCGAGGGACAAGGGGCAGATCAGCAGGGCGAACGTCCACCTCCCTACGGCGAGGAGCATTGGGGCACGGGTCGACTTCTTCGCGACTAGAGATGCGTGCTCGACGCGGCGCAACGCAGCGCAGCGCAGCACGGCACAATGGCATGTATTACCCAACCAAGCCGCACTGCAACTCTACTCTACCCGCGCCACCCACTTTCCCCGTACACCCTCCCCTCGTATCGCTTCCACAGCCCGTCTTCTTTCACTAGCCGGCGCGCAAGACCAAGCATCGAGGAGACACTGATGGACTCCAGCCCGTACTCTGTCAGCCATTTGAGTGGTGGGAGGCGTGCGAGCGGCGAGGAAGAGTAGGAGGACCCCGGGTCGGAGCTACGCAAGGCTATCTCTCGCTCGAGGAGGCGACGAGGGACAGGCTCGTGCAGCTCCTTTGACGGTTTGGAGCGGCTTGCGTTGAGCTCTGCGTCGACGTGAGGGAGCAGAGAGCCCCATAGCGTCTCGGGCGTGTAAGTGGCGTACTCGAGTCGATAATCCAATCTCCCCTCCCTCTTCTCCTTCTCGCTGTGCACGCCCCGCTCGCCGCGTTGTCTCTCCCACTCGTCATTGGCCCAATCGAGGTCCAACTTCCACTGCGAGTACCCCAAGAGGCTCATTCCCGTATTCGTGCGCGAGGGCGAATGGCGCGAGGTGTGCCGCGGGTAAGGATGACGATTTCGCCTATGACGCCGACCGTGCTTGGGACGACGATGTTTGCGGCGGAGCGAGTGGAGGCGAGAGGAGTGGGAAGCGCCTAGATGGGGGGATGATGAGTCGGGCGAGGGGGGAGGGGAGGAGAGGACGAGCTGCGCAGAGGAGTAGGCGGGGTGGTGATCCGGCGAGTCGTCTGGGTCTTCGTCATCCTCCTCCTCCGCGTGATCCTCAGTTTCGCCCTGCTCGCCCTCGCTCCCCATCCCCCGTCCCACGTTCCCCGTCACATTGTACGTCCACACCCTCACCGAGGGCACGAAAGTGGGCACGATCCCGGGCGCCGTAAAAAAGTAATGGTAGTACGACTCGTTGACTTCCTTTGCGCGGCGTGGGAGGACGGCGTAGTCCTTGCGCAGGTCGTCCGTGAGTGTCGTTGCGCGAATCGTCTCGTCCACGTCGGGGTCCTCTCCCTCGCCATTGCCATTCTCCTGCGCCTCTTCCTCGCCATCGTCTTCCTCCTCGCCTTCGCCTTCGCCTTCGCTGTCGCTCAGGCTCAGACTCTTGGCCCTCCTCTCCGCCTCAACATCCTCCTGCACCCAAAACGCATCCACATTCATATGCCCGAAATGCTGTCCCACAACTGTATCCTGGTAGTCGAGCACGATATCCGTGTACGCAGCATAACAGCGCGGGAAGTAGTTGCCAGCCGTAGGGGGTACGTGGCCGATGATGTGCACGGCGAGGCCGCGTTTGCGCAGTTGGGAGAGTTGGGCTTCGAGCCAGAGGAGTTGGCGCGTGCCCGGGTCGAGGTGCGCTGAGGACGCCGAGGCCGAGGAGGAGCTGCGGCCCCGCCCCTTGTGCAACTTGCGTCTCTCCCGCTTGATCCCCTTGCATCCATCGACGACCTTGTTCGAGTCGTACCAGTAAAGCGTATTCAAGCTAACAACAGCCAATCGTCCCTGCAGCACCTCGACGGTAAAGTATCCTCCCAACTGAAACGTATGTCGTTCCCACTCCGGCACCCACTCATCCCACATCTCGGCGTACTGCCCTATCAATTCGCTCGGCCCTCCCCACATGATATTGTGCGGGAAAACGTCGTTATTCCCCAGATTGGGTACGATGGGTACTCCAGGGAAAGCGGCACTGATCAAGTCCAAGCACCACTTGTTGGAGGCGTAGATCTCCTCGCGCGTCCGAGGGAACAGCGAGTCCAAATCATGTCGAGCCGAATCGCCCGTCCAGATTATAAAGTCGAAGGCGGCGTGGCGCCCGTCTCCTTCAGGCGGGGTCCACGCCCGCTTCACCCACTCGATGCTTGCTTCGACCAAACGACGAGGAGAGTCGCACCCTGAGACGGGAGAGCCCCAGTGTCCCGCGCGATCGTGCTTCTTGGGCTTGCCAGCGTGGCAACCCTTGGAGATCGATGAGCCAGCCTGGTAGTGGACGTCTGGGTGCAGGTCCGTCAGGTGGAGGAAGCGACCGGTGAGCGGCGAGGCGGGCTGAGAGGAGGAGGAGGAGGAGGAGGACGAGGACGAGTCCTCAAGGTGGGCGGTCAATGACGCTGTGAGATGAGTGGAGAGGGCGAGGGTGGCCGCAGCCAACGCTAACAGTAGCCTGCCCATCCTGCGTCCACCGTAAGAGTCTGCGTGAGAGGCGAGCACGAGCGTGACCGTCGCCGTGTGGATGGCCGTGGGACCGACCGACCCTTGTGGTGCGGAAGAGAGATTGTGGGCGGGAAGGGGAGATCAGATGGACCCAAAACGTGCACCCGTGCACCCGTGCGCCTCAGCCGGGACGCGGGGGCCCAAGCGCCGCCGCGAATCTCATCGTGGTATCCCGCACTCTAGGGCGCGTAGCTCATCAACACCGACGCCTTCCGCCTCGCCACTGGGCCAAAACATGCGCCGCAGTCCCCTCTCCACTTTTCTGGGTTTATAAAATAGAGTTGCTTAGTCGCGATGGGGTCAAAAAGGCAAAAAAGCGGGGGGTAAGTTTTAGTATTGGGACTTAAAGAGGAGACGCGGACAAGTTATGTACAGATGATTGGCCTCCTTTTCGACCTCGAGAGCTTCGACTACCGCCCATCATAGGTCTGCCCGACGAACGTGCAGAGGGAGAGACGAAAGCATCCGCCCTTCTGGTCTAGTAGAGTCGCAACCGTTCTGCAGCTATGAAGTCAAAGGCGCGAAAGAGAGGTAGCTAGAAGTTGAAGAAAGGCAGACGTCTGAAGTGAAGAGACGGGGCGCGGAGGGGCGATCCACGGAGTCGCAGGAATCTAGAGTCGTCGTTACGTAAGTCGGATCGGAATCTGTTTTGTGTTGCTTTTGTTGTGTAGTCCGAAGGGTGGAAAGCAGAATCGTCGTCAAATCCTTGGAGCGGGGCGGAAACGGGAAGGTGCCACGTGAATCTCTCTGACTTAGTCAGCGTGGACTGAGATCCATATTTAGAATGGTACGAGGCGGGTACCTTGAAGGCGGACGAAGGAACCATCGTTGACGTAGGTACCAACAAACGCAATTTGTGCCTCAGATAGTGATGGACTCTCCCCTCGGCGGACAGGAACGGCGAGGCCGTCCCAGGTGGACATGATCGACTCTAGCAGGAACTGTCGTACCGCTCCCTGTTCCATGCTGGCCGACCAAGTGATGTTGCAGTGGCTCATCTTGTCCCGACTCTCAACCAAGGCTTTTCGACGCAGGCGAGCAATGTGGGCAATGACGTGAGAGCGCCAAAGGAACGCCCGCGCCCGCTTAGATGGAGTCAAGATCTGACCTGGCCATCCGAGGACGATGCTCTTAGCGTCTAGCAGAGGCGTCCAATCACTCCCCAGCAACTGGTGGAGCAAGGGCATCGCCGCCAGCCAGACGCGCTCTTTGATCGTCCGGCACGCAATGAAGCCGTGAGGCGTTGAATCGCGCTCAGCGCAGCCGTCCACCAAGCAATTGCCTCTCTTGTAGATGGGATAGCTGGCTGCGGTCTCCTCTGGCAACGGCACCCTCTGATTCCTCTCTGCCCTTTCTCCTTCTTCGTCCTCATCAGCGTCATCATCGCCGTGAGCGTCCTGCTGCCGCCACTGCGGATGATTGTCGCGCATAGTGCCGCCCTCCGTCCTATGGATGTCCAGACGAACATGAACGTTGACTCCCTCGGTGGGTAGGAAGGAGTCGTCCAGCGGGGTAGTTGGCCTCTCGTCCTCATCTTCTATGGTGACGGGCCTCATGTCACCAGAATACCGGATGCTGTGCCAGCTCCTCCTGTGGTTGAAGCACATCAAGGCGGAGAAGTCGGCATCATCCAGGAGCACCCGCTTCTGTGCTGTGTACTTCCAAAGATGCTTCCATTCCGCATCAGAAGCATAAAATGGCCAGTCTGGCCTGAGCGGCTCTTTGCGCGCCAACGCAGCCCGTCCACCTCGTACGGTGAACTGACGCAAGGGCATGCCGCCGAGCTTGGTATGTCGCCAAGGGAATTTGAAAGTTGAGACATCCCAATGGTACGGGCGAATGTGAGTACGCTGCCCGTCGCGGTTGTCGGAACGTCGCTCGCGCTCTAGCTCCCAGATCCGGGGTATTCGACTGAGAATGATGCGTACCTGCCTCGGCAGTCTGAACCAGTAGCCATTCCAGTCGTGATAGAGAGGTGCAATGGCGTGCGTACGTTGGCCATGGTAATCGGGGCCAAATTCGTCGCGTAGATGATCTGCCCACAGCTTCAAAACTGGAGCAGACGGCGGACAGAGCGGCAGCGAGGCATTGCAAGTAAGCGAGATGCGCCCACCGCCACCGTCGTAGCCCCAGATGACATCTCCCAGCAAAGAGAGGCCCATCCTAATCGTCTGAGCATAGTGCATCTTCTTCGTCGCCCATTCCGGCTCGCCAGCTATGCCTTTGTAGTTGAAAGGAATCGTGAGCAGCTCCTGCGGCGTGTAGTCGCCCCAATTGTCGGTCAAGGTCAAACCGAGCATGGAAATGGCCCAGCAGATTCTGCCCCAGAACGAGTGAGCAGCCTTGGTACGGCTGGCTAGACACTTGAAGAATCTTCCCCTGCGGAGAAGGAACACGCCCTCTGTCACCTTCAAGGACCAAATGTAGTCGTGCAGCGTATCACGGAAGAATTGCCCTGCAGCGTCCTCACGTAGCAACCTGCGCGCCACCACTGCGCCTGATTGTGCGATCAGCATGTGATCTGGATCGTGCAGGCCCAACCCTCCCACACTCTTCGGCGCGGTCATCGTCTCGTATTTGATCCATGGCCTGCCACCAAGCCACAGGTAGGGCTTGATGGTTGCGACAACCTCGCGAAGGAAATGAGGAGGGACGGGGCACAGCTTGATGCTGTACCACATCTTGGAGAGCAAGAGATTGTTGCAGACGTTGACGCGTGAGACGAGCGCCGTGTGGTGAGTGCGCAACGCCACGCGCTTGCTTCTAACGGCTCGCAGCCGCGCTTGAAATTCCTCATTGGCGTCGGTGTCGTGACTGACGCAGAAAGGGTGCCCCAAGTACTTGAACTCGGCTACATCGGACGCTGGCCAAAGAGCATCCTTCTGCAGCTGCTTGAGATCGCGTGCATGGTGTAAGTGTCGCCGCAGCGGCGACTGAATCAAGATCGTGTGGCTCTTGTCGTTGGAGACCTCTCCCCCTGAGGCGGCTGAGTAGTCGCTCAGTAGCTCCTCGATCACTTCTCGGTCACCGTCGTCGCTCAAGAACATGGCAACGTCGTCGGCAAAAGCGAGGTAGGGTATTGTGAAGCCTCGGCGGCTGTGCGGAGGCGCAGCCAGCCGAGCTCCTTGATCGTAGTAAGGGAGTGCGTTCAGGAGAGGTTGAAGGGAAAGGTTGTAAAGCAGTGGACTGGCAGGATCGCCCTGGATGAGGCCGTTGGGCATGGGCACCCGCGCCGTCGGCCAGCCATTGAGGAAAAAGGAGACGCCAGCGTTGTGGTAAATGCCTCGAATGAGGTTGATGATGGGCTCAGGGAAGCGTAGTCGCTTCATGACGTGATACAACCAACGTCTGTCAACCTTGTCATACGCCTTCTTCTGGTCAAGTAGCAGGAGGAGCAGGCCTGGGTGCCGCCCTCTATGCACCGCGTCTAGGACGAGGTGGAGCAGGACGGCGCTGTCGTCGGCAGAGCGGCCTTGGACGAAGCCGTGCTGATATTCGGCTTGGACGGACGATACGGCTTGCAATCGAGCGGAGAGAGCTCGGCCGACCACTCGGTTCACTGCCGTGGCAATGCAGAGCGGTCGATAGTTGCGCAGCTCTTCCCTGTCTCCTGCCTTGGGGAGCAAGACCCCCCTGAATTGTGCCAGGTCGGTAGGGATCTTGGCTCCATCCATGAGAGCGTTGACGCATCGAGCTAAGATAGGTAGAAGTGAGTCGGCAATCAACTTCAGCACAGGGTAAGGCAGTCCATCCATTCCTCCAGCAGATTCGTCACGGGCAGACATCAATGCCTGCCGCAACTCCTCGGTGGTGAACGGTCGGACCAGCTCGTTGCGCGCTGCGGATGATATCTGTCGAGGAGGGTCCTCCTGGAACAGCCTACTCCAGGCCTCCTTGCGGCCTGGTCGCTCTGGGTTCCCTGCGTAGAGACTCTCGTAGAAGTCGGCGACGATTTGGCACATGCTTGCTGTGTCGCTGACCAACTCGCCGCGCTCGTCGCGTAGACCTGGAATGGTGGCTCCAGACCGAGAGCGGTTTGCGTGTGCGAGCCAGCTAGACGGTCGCAGCTGCACATCCTTGTGAGCTGGTGTCCTGAAGCCCATCTGGTCGGCTGCCGCCACCTGCCGTGCCAGCCGTAGGGCCTTGGCCATCATAGGTTGATATTGGTCTCGTTCAGTAGGGTGATCCAGGTTCAGTCGTGACATGCGCTCACGTAGCCGCTGCAGCTTCTCCTTTGCTGCGCGATTGCGTTGTCCGACGGGCAAGGATAGTTGGTAGGCTACGGTGCGCAGCCTGAACATGAAGTTGAACCACGCGACGACTGGATCGTCTTCTGCAAGCGAGACAGCCTTGGCTTGCTCGGCCCACGCTGCCAGTTGCTGTTTGAATGTCTCGTCGGCCATCACTCCTGGGTGCAATCGCCACGCGCCCGGCCCGAAGCCTTCGGCGTCAACTTGGTGCCACCCAATCCGCAGGCTGTACCGTACTGCTCTGTGATCCGAAGATAAGTCATGAAAAGACACCTTGCCGCCTAAACTGGCCAAGGTGGGTGTCGCCCAAACACTGTCAAGACGACGCGAGGTGGTGCGCCCCAGGCGCGTGCTGACGCGAGAGTAGTCACGCCCCTGAGGATGGAAGGAGCGGTAGACGTCAACGAGGTTGGCATCCTCAAGGAGGTGCTGGAACCGGGAGAAAGATAAGGCTGGAGTACGTGAGGGTCCGAGTGGTTCGGAGCGGTCAAGGTGAGAAGGACAGGCGTTCCAGTCTGCGCCGACAATGACGAGAGCGTCGGTATTTGTCATCATGTCAGGCGGCAGATGAGCCAAGAAATGGTGGGGGGAGGAGAAGAAGGAGGCGTCGGCTGGCGCGTGAAAGCTGATGAGAAAAAGGGTCGTATAGGCTACGCCTCGGATGTTGATGGGTCGGCCGGTGTCGATGCGGAAGAAGAGGTAGCGTTCGTGATGAAGAGTCTCAAGTATGCGCCACTGCGCATTGCGGAAGAGTATGCCAGCATCCCATGTCAGCAGGCCGCGATAGCCTTGTCTGACGAGAGGCGCCCACCTGTGGCCAGCGCGGCGCAAGGAGACGTCGGCCTGTCGGCATTCCTGAAGTAGAATAATGTCGGCTGAAGCAAAAGCAGGAGACGAGCACAAGTCGGCGGCGTGCTCGTCAATTTGAAGTGAAGACGCATTCCAGGTGACCACCTCCAGGCAGTCGTCGTCAGAGTCGAGAAGAAGGGGGGAGCTAAGAGAGGTGGTGATGAAATAGAAGCCAATGACGAGGATGAGGTAGACGTGCCGTCGATCAATTAGACGAGCCGGCTTGTCGCTGTTGCTTGGCGTTGGCCACCTCCTCGAGAGGAGGTTGTTTGCCATTGGTGTGGTCCTTGGCCTCGTGACCGTATCCACCGCAGGCAAAGCATTGGCGTGCCTGACATTCGTCGAACAGATGAAAGCCGGTGGAATGGGCTCGACATTTGTGACAATGCTGCTTCCTACCACGGTAGGCCAGTTCGTAAGACTCGGTGTCATAAAGGATCCAACCTGGGAGCGTGGAGATGTCCACTCCCGCGTGAGTAGTGAACAGAACGAGCAGGCGCCCACTGAAGAGGGCGGGCGTGATGTCGTCGTCGAGGGAGCGGTACGTTGACCAGACCTCCTCGACAGTACCAAAGTTGTTGAGCCAGATGCGGATGAGCGGCACGAGTATCTGGAAATTGCACATGCCGGGTAGTCCTCGCAGGAGGAGGACGTGTGCATTGATTGGAAGAGAGGGGCCTTTGAAGGCGAATTGGAGATCTGTGTGCTCGAAGCGGAGTGCAATCTCGCCGCAGCGATCGAAATGCTCACGTTGCCGGAAGGTGACATCCACGTACCTCTTTGCGGAGTGAGGAGGTGGGAAGTTGATGAGCGGGAAGTCATCCCTAGTAGCAATGTTGATCTGCCGCTTGAGTTGACGTGCGAAGGCGGCCCATGCAGCCGTCTCCATGTCGGGACGGAAACGAGTGAGTATCCTCCAGCGACCAGTTGCTCGAGGTACCTGTATGCCACGGCGAGTCGGGTCAGGCAGCTCAGCGAAGGGTACCTTGATGGGTCCCTCCATTGGCCAGATGCGCTCCTCCGTAAGGATGACGCCTTCCAAGTCCTCGTCGTCGCTTGCCTCGGCGTCGAAATCATCGTCTTGCTGCTGCTGTTGCTGCTGCTGCTGCTGCTGCTGCTGTTGTCCAGCCTGCTGCGTCTGTTGGCCGTGTTGCTGCTGCGACTGTTGCTGGCGTGTGTCCTGATCGACAACCTCGCGCCTGGCATCTGCAACGGGGGCCTGGTACTCCCCTGCCACAGTGACTCGAGCGGCGGGAGCCGTCTCCTGAGCGGGAGGCTCTGTTGCGGAGCGGCGTTTACGGGGGTCAATGCCGCCTGTTGCATCGTCCCCAGCCATGTCGACGTCGCGGGTCGCGTTGTCCTCTTGGTCACGGGAGCTGAAGCGAGTGGCGGGTGCGTTCTGCTCGCCGGCGGGGCTGGCAGAAGGGGGCTGGGCAGAACCTTTGGGGTAGGGTGTCGTTTGGCGACCTTGAAAGGGCTGGAACGGGGATCCAGAAGCGGACAGGCCTGGTGTGGTACTAGCCGCAGCGTCGCCTCCCTCGGATCGAGGGTTAGCGGCGCTACCAGCGTTGGCGCTGGCCGAAGCATCGGCCTCACTTTGGCGTTGTGAACGTCGAGCAGGGTTGGGGTCTGGGAGGCTACTTTTGGCCTTGGGCATAACGAAGGAGAATGAAGGGGGGAGGGGGTGAAGGAGCGCGAAAGGCTGAGGACAGAGCTAGTGGCCCGCCTCTTATCCAAAAGTGCAGACGCCAGCATTCCCTCCAAAAGCGTCTGCTGGACGAAGCAAGCGTTTGGGCCGCCATCGTTGACTGTTGTCGCGCCTGCTGAAATTGGTGTCAAAGGCTCATCGCGAGCTCGGACCCCTTCCGCCAGCAGGTCACGGGTAGGAGAAGGAGGAAGAAGGAGTAATGCCTGCCAGCAACGCACGGCGCGGGAGAGAATAGGGGCTTGTCCAAAATCTTCGATATACCCAGGGTGTTTGATCGGTGCCAGCGAGGATGCCCCCCGGACGGACAAAGGCGGCCGCCGAGGATGTAACCCAAGACGCTGTTGCGAGCCTGGTAGTGTCGAACTTGTCCATCTCTTCCATCTCATCATCTTCCAAGTACGGCAGCATGCTATCCATCTCCACAACCACCATGCGACCAACATCGAATTCAAGACCACCAGCACACAGCAACCAGGTGAGTACCGAGCGATGGTCGCTGCGTCGAGTGCGCCTCCCCTTGGTATTGCCCAGAGAGGAGTCAGAGCTCCGAACCCCTTCGTGACCCATCCGGTAGACGAGCCAAACAGGCATTCGATGCCCTCGTAGACTGCTATGATAGCGCTTGGTGGCATAAGATGTTGATCGTGCAACCAACTGGTCGCGGACGAAATCGACGTGGCGCTCATGATGATAACTCCTAGTCCAACTAGTAAACTGAGCCTCGAAGCCAGAGCGCGCAACACCCACTGATAACGGGTGCCACGTCGATCGTTGTTCGGGGCTAGGAAGCTGTCGATTGCCATGTCTTGCTCCATGTTATTGCGTTCGCCGTCGTCAGGGGTAAGCCAGATGATGGTGTCGGCGGGTGCCCTAGGGGGGCGGTTGCGTACTACTTGACGCGAAAAGGACTCAATAGGACTCAAAAAGGGGGGACACCGTTGTGCCCGAGAGGTCGTTGACTTAAAAGACTGGGTGACCAACCCTCCTTCTCGCTACCACTAACCTTGAAAATGCAAAAATGCGATTTCCAAGGATCGAGGTAGAAAAAGGAAGGGAAGCGTTGGGTGACAACAGTGGGATTCGAACCCACGAGGTTTCCCACGGCGAGTCCATGCTGTCTCGCTGACGAATCGAGCGAAACCTGCCTGAACACCGCGCCATAACCACTCGGCCATGTTGCCCACGAGGTCCGTGCGCCGAAATGAACAGTTAGTATGCCGCAGCGCCAACTCTGTACCCGCCCCTCGCAGATCGACACATTGGCAGGCGGCAATTTCGCGGCGGCTCGCTGCATTTCTGGTGTCCGTGCACGCTGCGTTGCGTTTCGTTTCTTGGATCAACACCACCACCACCACCACGTCCGACTCGCAGCCCGACCCCTTGACGCCGTCGCGGGGCGAATCGCAGCGCCACACGCAGCATGTCCTCACCCTCTGCCCTTCCCCTGGACACACACGCACCTCCTCCAGGCCCTCTCCTCTCGCTAGCCTCCTCCCTCTCGACGCTGCTCGTCTCCCTCTTCTCCCTCCTCACCACGCTCCTCTCCTTCCTAACCGTCACCCTCCCTTCACTCTGCTTCAGCGTACTCCACTACTCGCTCACTCTTCAGCTCAACTTCCCTTCCCTACTCGTGCTCTTCCTCTTGGCCCTGGCTGCGGGCTTGGTCTGGCTGAGATATCGACATCGCAGCTATGAGAGGTTGAAGGAACAGCCGTTGAAGGGGGACGAGGGGTTTCATTTGCACCCGGATTTGGGAATGGGAGCGGGAGAGGGGGGAGAGAAGATGGGGTGCGTAGTGCGCGCCACGATGATGCGCGTAAATTGCCCAGAGCTTACTCTGCCCTGCCCTCGCTCGCTCGCGCAGCCCCTTCCACACGTACCTCGACGACTTTCTGCAGGCGATTCGCATCTTTGGATTCCTCGAGAAGCCCGTGCGTTGCGCTGAGCCACGCAAAAAGTCTGCTATCATCTCATCTCTGCGCCGCTGACCAATGCTTCGTCCTCGTGAACGCACAGGTCTTCCACGAGCTCGCCCGACACCTCCAGACACGCCGTCTCCTCGCAGGCGACTCCCTCTCCCTCTCCCTCTCCAGCGATGACGCTTCCTCCTTCTACATCGTCATCGACGGGCGCGTTCAGGTCTTCGCTCCCCTCGACAACGCCGGCGGTGAACAAGGCGAGGGGGCGTTGGATGACGAGGATCACCCCGGCTTGCAGTTGCTCAATGAGGTGGAGAGTGGCGGGACGCTCAGTAGCTTGTTTACCATTCTGAGTCTCTTCACCGAGGATGTACAGCTGGGAAGTGGAGTGGCAGAGAATAGCCCACCTTACGTCGGTGGTGTGCAGCCTCCTCCGCCGCCGCCGCCGCCTCTTGGGCAGCATGACGTGTGGAACGGGTTGAGGAGGAGAGCCAGCGCCATGCCGCCTGGTGGGGGACAGTTGCAGCTCTCCGCAGCCACGCTTCGTCATGTACCGGGGGCTGCATCGGGTTTCGAGGCCGTACACACGCCCTTTGACGCAGCCAACTCCTCACTCGATGCGGCCGCAGACGACGTAGCCTTCAGCTCTCCCGCGAGCAGGCCGCGAGACTCGAGTCCTATTCCTCCCAACTTCCTACCCCCTCCGCAGACGACGGCACACAACCTCGGCTCACCCACCCGCCTGCGCACGCAAAGACGCACGTCTGACACGCTGGGCCGCAGCGACACGCTAGGCCGCAACGACACGCTAGGTCGCACCGACTCTTCCCCCGCCGCACCCGGCCACGCGCGATCCGACTCGATCTCGTCCACCATGCCCCGCGCCGGCAAGCCCCTCGTCCCCACAACCTACCCGACCGGCACCATCGGCCGAGCTACCGTAGACACGACCCTCGCCGTCATACCCGCGGAAGCCTTCAAGCGCCTCACCAAGCGCTACCCCTCCTCTGCGGCGCACATCGTCCAGGTCATCCTCACGCGACTCAGCCGAGTGACCTTTCGCACGGCGCATCAGTACTTGGGCTTGACAAAGGAGATCATGCGCACCGAAAAGAGGGTCAACGAGGTTGCGAGCTTCCCGTTGCGCGAGGGGTTCTATGAGCAGGGAGGGATGGAGAGATTGAGGCGCCGCTTCAGGCCAGAACCAGAGCCTCGCAGAGGGACCGAGGAGGAAGGGTACTTTCGTGATCGCGCAGAAGGAGTGCCCACCGTAACGTCTCGATCTCGTCCTCCCACGACACCATGGGGCCACCCAGACCCGCCGCTTCGCACGCCAAACGCACGCAGCCACGTTGGACCGGGCGACCTGCTCAGCATGACGGGCACCAACGACCTCACGCGCAACGGGAGCCCGCAGCTCATCAGCCCAAAGCGCACGTCTTCGCGCTCAGAGCCGGACGCCGAGGCGGCCCACGATCGCGACCGGGATGGGGGCATCGGCACTCTCAAGGACGAAATCCTCGAATGCATCTCCAAAGCCATTGGTCTTTCCGCGCTTCCCCCCTCATCCCCCACGCTAGGCGCCGGCAGTGAGGCTTCCCCCTTTCTCCACCCGCAAGACTCCGGACGACGCACGGTCCCCGCCTTCAATTCGGCCTTTGGTAGCCTGAGCATGCTGGACGGCCTATCCATGTTCGACGACGAGGCCAGCTCCCTCACGGGGGGCAGCGTGGCGGGGGCAGGCGCTCATCATGCCGAGCTGGAGAACGAGGTGCAGGTGCGCTTTTTCCCCGCGGGCAGCACACTCGTCAAGGCGGGAGACTCGCAGGCCGGCCTCTTCTACGTCGTTGACGGGTTCCTCGATGTAGTTGTCCCGCCGCAGCAGCAGCAGCAGATGGGCAACGCAGCAGGAAAGGCCGGCGCAGCAAAGGAGTCAGCAGCGTCGGCGGCGTCTTCCCCGCTGAAGCGCAGGGCAGAACCGCAGCAGCAGAGGGGCGGGGCGAGAAAGACGTCTAGGATGACCGAGCAGACGATGGGTAGAGGGGCAGGCGCAGGCGCGAGCACCACTACAGCTAGTGCGCCGGGGAGCGCCATTCGCTCCGACTCGACACGGCCGCGCCCCAATCCGTACGCCAATGCGTCGCCGTCCGCGCCCACCGCGCCCACCGCGTCCACCGCGCCCAAACCCATCTTCACCGTCCGTCGAGGCGGCGTGGCAGGCTACCTGAGCAGTCTCCTCGGCTCCCCCTCTTACGTCGACATACTTGCCAAGACGGACGTGTACGTGGGATATCTACCGGCAAAGGCTCTGGAGCGCATCATGGAGAGTCGACCTGCCACGCTTCTCACGCTGAGCAAGCGCTTGTTGACGCTGTTGAGCCCGCTGATATTGCACATCGACTCGGCCTTGGATTGGATGCAGGTCAACGCGGGACACGTCATCTTTCGCGAGGGGGACGAGGCGGATAGTGAGTTGCGAGGCGCACGAGGTGCGCAATCAGTGCTGACTGCTTCTTGGCCCCCACCTCACGCGCCGCGCGCAGGCTTCTACATCGTCATCAACGGCCGTCTGCGCGCCATAGCCGACTCGGACGGGACGGTAGGCGTTCTCGCCGAGTATGGGCAAGGCGACTCTGTCGGCGAGCTAGACGTCATCACCTCGAGTCCGCGACAGAAGACTCTCCACGCCATTCGCGACTCAGAGCTGGTGCGCATGCCCATGACCCTCTTCAACGCAGTGGCCGTGCGTCACCCGCAGGTCGCGGTGCAGATCTCCCGCATCATCGGACGCCGCGTCAGGCAGGAGGTGGAGAATCGTCAGGCCGCAGCTAATACGCTTCGTACACAGATCCCCGGCTTGCCCGATTTGGGACGCAATAATGCCAACTTGAAGACCGTCGCCATCCTGCCGGTCACGCGCGATGTGCCCATCGTAGACTTTGCCAACAAGCTCCAGGCAGCCTTCGAGGATACGCTCGGGGCGCCGACTGCTTTCCTCAATCAGAGTAGCGTGATGAGCGTGTGAGTGCGGCGCGAGCCACACGAGAGACAGGGCTGAACGCCACGCTGATCCCGCCAATGCTGCCTCTCGGGCGCCGCCCAGCCTCGGGCGCCACGCATTCAACCGCATGGGCAAGCTCAAGCTAGCCGGCTGGCTCTCCGAACAGGAACAGCGCTATCGCCTCGTCCTCTACGTGGTGGACACGGTCGTCTCCTCTCCGTGGGCGCAGACCAGCATCCGGCAGGCAGATAGCGTCCTCCTCGTAGGCTTCGGCGATGACCCCGCTGTAGGAGAGTACGAGCGCCTCCTCCTCAGCATCAAGACTACAGCGCGCAAGGAGCTGGTGCTGCTCCACCCTGAACGCAGCGTGCCACCTGGATCGACGCGCGAGTGGCTCAAGAGTCGGCCGTGGATTAATGCGCATCACCATGTTGAGATGCCCGGGATCACCCTTAGCCATGCTGCGCCGATGACTACCGACCCAGGAGCGGTGCAGGCTTTGCGGCATTTGAAGGAGAAGTTGGAGACGAGCTTGCAGAGGTACCGTGTCAAGGGAGGGTCTACCACCGCAGCCAACGGTCGTCGTCACCACTTTAGCGACTTTGCCCGCCTGGCTAGGCGACTGTGTGGCAAGAGTATCGGCCTCGTGCTGGGCGGTGGTGGGGCGAGGGGTTGTGCGCATGTAGGCGTCGTGCAGGCGCTCGAGGAGCGGGGTGCGTGGGGCGTGCGCGGCACAGGCTACCCACATACATGCTGACCTCTTCGCCCCGCACGCACGCACCCGCACGCCCCGCCAGGCATTCCCATCGACATGATCGGCGGCACGAGCATCGGGTCTTTGATCGGCGGCCTCTACGCCAAAGAGGGCGAGGTCGTCTCATCGTACGGCCGAGCAAAGAAGTTCAGCGGCAGAATGGGCAGCTTGTGGCGCTTCGCCTCCGACCTCACCTACCCCGTGGTGTCATACACGACGGGTCACGAGTTCAATCGCGGAATCTTCAAGGCGCTCGCTGACACGCACATCGAGGATATGTGGTGAGTGCGCGGCGCGCGAGGACGGCGCGAGGACGAGGACCAATGTTCGTCCTGGCTCGCCCAATTAACGCCCAGCGCTCCTCCCCCCCGCTAGGCTCCCCTTCTTCTGCAACACGACGAACATCACCTGGTCCCGCATGGAGGTCCACACAACCGGGTACGCCTGGCGCTACATCCGCGGCAGCATGACTCTCGCCGGTCTAATCCCGCCGCTCGTGGACGAGGGCAACATGCTCGTAGACGGCGGCTACGTCGACAATCTGCCCGTCTCCGTTATGCTGGCCATGGGCGCGCGCTCCGTCTTTGCCGTAGACGTGGGGAGCATCGACGATACGAGTCCGAGAAGCTACGGCGACACGCTGAGCGGATGGTGGGTGCTCCTCAACAAGTGGAATCCATGGAGCGATGCGCGGAACATCCCTTCTATTCCCGATATCCAAGGGCGACTGACCTACGTTTCCTCTGTCAAGACGTGAGTGCGCGGCGCGTCGTGACGAGGAGCAATCGCACTCCACGCTTACAACCCTTCACGCCCCCACGCCGACGCCGCACCACCAGCCTCGAGGAGGCCAAACGCCTCAAGAACGTCTGGTACATGCGTATGCCCGTCGAAGGGTTCGGCACCCTCGAATTTGGCGCCTTCAATGACATCTCGCGCATCGGGTACGACGCTGGTTCCAAGATGCTCGACGACTGGGCCGCAGAGGGCAAGCTCCCCGCGGGCAGCGGGGTAGCGGGCGGTGCGTGGGACGATGGTGAGGGTGGGGGAGTACCTGGCGTCGGACGTGATCGAGCGGGTAAGAGGGGAGGGATGAGCGCGCGCAGGAATAGCGTGTAGCCGGGCGTGCTCGCAAAATCCTTATCTCGGCGCCTTGTGATGTGATTCTGCATCTCCTTCTAATCTAGTCGAGCCGCCTGGCTACCTGTGAGGCCGGCCTTCGCGTGGCGCGTGGTAGACTCGGCGGCGCTGCGCTCGCTCCCTCCCCCCTCGGCAGATGCCGGGAATACCGTAGACGCGGCGGGCGTGTCGTACGATCGAATGACCGACTTTGACTTGGCTGGAAAGCTTGTCTCGTCTTCTTCGCGCCTGGGTGGGCGGACGTAAACGGCTCTTTGGCGCCTCATGCACCCTTATCTCTACGCCAGTCCGTCTGCACGACGTGCAGCCTCGCAGCGTCGTCCGATCGAGGCCGCCGCGTAGAGTATGTGTGCCTCGAGCGTCTCTCCGCCCGTCGCGCCGCCCGTCGAGCGCTGCTTGTTTCACGACGGCATCTGGCTGCGCGTCAGACATCAGTGCGAAGAGGCGCCGGCAGGAGGCCGTGCGCCAGGAAAAAGCCTGTCGACGCCCAGTTCTTCCTACCGTCTGACTGAGTGAGCGAGTGGCCAGAATGAAGCTCGCTCTGAGGGCGCCTGGAGCGCAATGGTATTTGAACCGGGCAAGTCGAGGTTGGCTGGCGTCGCCGCCTCCCCTCCGTCCAACCATTTCCCCTCGCCCACACACCACCATGTCCAACGCTGCCCCCAACACCCCCGAGCCCGAGTTCGAGCAGGTGAGCGAACGCGGCGAGCAAGACGAGAAGGTGGAGGCGCAACACTGACATGCTGCTCTCTATCCACACCACGCCACGCCAGGCCAAGTCGGAGATCTACTCGACCCTCAAGCCCTTCCTCGCAAAGAACCCCGAGTACGAGCGAGCATGGGAGATCCTCCAGAACCCTGAGCGCATCATCCAATTCAGGTGAGCTGCGAGCGCGGGCCGAGACGAGATGACACGCTACGTCGCCCAGCTACCTGACACTCACGCCCCTCGCCCGCGCAGGGTCGTCTGGGAGGACGACAAGGGCGTCTGCCGTGTGAACCGCGGATATCGCGTCCAGTTCAACTCGGCCCTCGGCCCTTACAAGGGCGGGCTCCGTTTCCACCCTACTGTCAATCTCTCGATCCTCAAGTTCCTCGGATGCGAGCAGGTCCTCAAGAATGCTCTGACGGGCCTCCAGATGGGCGGTGGAAAGGGTGGATCTGACTTTGACCCCAAGGGCAAGAGCCCTGCTGAGATTCGTCGATTCTCCACCGCTTTCGGCCGTGCGCTCGCCAGGCACATTGGGCCTGACACCGATGTGCCGGCTGGTGATATTGGATTCACGGGAGAGAATGCGGGGTGAGTAGGCATTGCGAGGTCGTATCCTTTACATGCGCTGACATCGTGCTGCCCGCGCCACGCCTGCTGCCCCCCCCCCCCCCCCCCCCCCCCCCCCCCCCCCCCCCCCCCCCCGCGCCACGCCCGCAGCTACGTCTTTGGCGCATACAAGCAGTTCGCAAACGAGTGGTCCGGCGTCATCACGGGCAAGGGCGAGGACTGGGGAGGATCGGCCGGTCGCCCCGAGGCAACCGGGTACGGCCTCGTCTACTACGTCGACCACATGATCCACCACGTCGAGGGTTCCAGCAGCGGCGGCTTCAAGGGCAAGAAGGTGGCCGTCTCCGGTGCCGGGCAGGTCGCGCAGTTCGCCGCTCTCAAGGCAATCGAGTTGGGAGCGACTGTGCTCTCGCTCTCTGACTCCAAGGGATCGCTCATCGCCAAGGACGCCAGCAACGGTTTCACGCCCGAGGAGATCCAAGAGTGAGTTCGCGGCGCGGCGCGTCGCTCCAGGATCGCACCCCGCTAACCTGGCCTCTTCGGTGCCTCTTACGCAGAGTCTTCACAATCAAGTCCGCCCGCAAGGAACTCTCTACCTTCGGCGACAAGTCCGGCAAGTTCACCTTCCACGGCAACGGCGCCCGTCCCTGGAAGCTCGTCCCGCAGTACGATGTGGCCCTCCCCTCTGCCACGCAGAACGAGGTCGACGAGTCCGACGCTCAGGCCGCCATCAAGGCAGGCTGCCGCTACATCGCCGAGGGGTCCAACATGGGCTGCACTCAGGAGGCCATCGACGTCTTTGAGGCTACGCGCGCCCAGAAGGGCAAGGGAGGCTGCGTATTCTACGGGCCGGGCAAGGCCGCCAATGCAGGCGGTGTGGCCGTCTCTGGGCTGGAGATGGCACAGAACAGCCAGCGACTCAAGTGGTCCCTGCAGCAGGTCGACGGGAAGCTCAAGGATATCATGACCGAGGCTTTCCGTCTGTGCTTGGAGACGGGCAAGAAGTACGGCGATGGAGCAGAGGTGCCCTCCCTCGTTCAGGGCGCCAACATCGCTGGCTTCCTCAAGGTCGCTGACGCCATGAAGGCGCACGGCGATTGGTGGTAGTCGCGGCGTGCGCTCCGTGCGCTTCGTGCGCTTCGTCGTGTTGTCTCGTCGTGTGTTCGCTTGTTTGATAGAGTTGTGAGAATGCTATTGCCCATGTAATCTTAGAGACACGGGAGCGAGGCGTGGTTGTGCGTCACTCAATAGCTGCTGCTCGCGGCGACTTTCATCCTTCGGCCTTCCCGCCGACGACTGCCGAGCCGCCGCCTCTCCGCCGCCTCGCCGCGGCCTCGTCATAGCGGCTGACGAGACTGACTTGGTTCCATGCGGGACCCGCGAACCAGTTGCCGTTGTTCGCTACGCCCGGCCGCCGCCCTTCATTTGGATCGAAGTAGGGCGAGTCCGTGCATGCATGAAGTGTAGAGCGCGGAGCCAGGGATGGTCAGCATTGAGCGCGGGGTCAGCGTGGGCCGCTATGGGGATGGCGACGGCGGTCATCGTCGGGTTCACAACCTCACCATCATCGTCACCACCTCCTCCCCACGCCACGCTCGTCATGGCGAGCTCAAAAGGTCGCCCGGAAACGGCCGTCAGCAAGGCGACGAGCAGCAGCGAAACAGGCGGCGGTGCTGTCCCCCCGGATCGTACGCCACGCTCCACCCCTTGGGCCCCGCACCATACCCCCTTCTCCCGCATCCTCTCCGCCCACTATCCCGGGGATGGCACTCCCTCCTCCCCCTACCTGATCGGCTGGCTGGACAACGACGCAGAGAATCCGCAGACCCTCGCCAAGAGCCGCAAAGTCTTCCTCACCGGATTCGTCAGCATAGCCACGTTGGCCGTCGCGCTCGCCTCGTCAGCTTACAGTGGGGCCATCGATTCGATCAGGGCTGATCTTGGTGGAAGTCAAGAGGTTCTCGTGCTGGGAGTGTCCATCTTTGTGCTGGGCTTCGCGGTGGGACCACTCTTGTTCGCGCCGTTGAGCGAGTTCTGTGGGAGGCGTACCGTCTTCATTGGAACGTACTCGGCCATGACCCTCTGGCAGGCCGTCTCGCCCGCCGCGCCTAACTTGGGGGGACTGATCGCCTTTAGGTTCTTGGCGGGCGCCTTTGGGTCGAGCGCGCTCACGAACTCGGGGGGGACCATCGCCGACGTCTGGGATGCGAATACGCGAGGTTTGGCTATGGCCCTCTTCGCTGCGGCGCCCTTCCTAGGACCGTGAGTAGGCGCGCAACGCCCTACATGGGTACGGATTGCTGACCAAACTCTTCCCCCCTGCGCTCGCGCCCGCAGCACGCTCGGTCCCATCACTGGCGGCTTCTTAGGCGAATCGGCTGGCTGGCAATGGGTCGAGGGCTTCCTCGCCATCTTCTCGGGTGTCATCGCCATCGCGGGCATGCTCTTCCTCTCCGAGACGTATGCACCCTACCTCCTGCGTGAGCGGGCGAAACTCCTCCAAGCCGCGACGGGCAAGCACTACATTAGCGCTCTGGACGAGGGTAAGGACATCAGCCTCAAGACGCAGTTCAAGGTGGCGCTGGCACGGCCATGGCAGCTGCTGGCAAGAGAGCCCATCGTTGTGGTCCTGTCCCTCTACATCGCTGTCATCTACGCCACGCTCTACTCGTACGTACGCAGCGGCGAGCTCACCCATGTCGCTTCTGCACTGTGCTGACCTGACCCCCCCACTTGCGTACGCAGCTTCTTCTCCGCTTTCCCCCTCGAGTTCCAAGTACTGCGCGGCTGGTCCCCCGGGATCGGCGGGCTAGCCTTCCTCGGCATCCTGGTGGGCATGCTCCTCTCCCTCGTGTACGTAGTCGCCTACGAGAACCCGCGATACGTCCGCAAGAGCGACGCGTTGGGGGGCTCCACCCCTCCGCCGGAGGAGCGCCTCCCCGCCGCAATGGTGGGCTCCGTCCTCGTCGTTGTGGGGCTGGCCGTCTTTACCGGTACCAACGGACCAGACGTCTTCTGGCTGGCGCCCATCATTGCCAGCGCCCCCTTTGGTGCGGGGATGGTCTTGCTCTTCTTGGGGATTCAGAACTATCTCGTCGACTCGTACCTCGTTTACAGCGCGTCCGTCCTAGCGGCGAACAGCTTGATTCGATCCGTACTCGGCGCGGTATTCCCGCTCATCACCGACTACATGTACAACCCGGTCAATTGCCCCCTTGCGACGTGCGGGATCAAGGTCGGGGCAGGGATCAGCCTTGCGCTGGCTTTCGTCTGCCTGCCGGCGCCCTTTGTGCTCTACAGGAAGGGGGCGGGGATCAGGCGCAAGTGCAAGTACGCGGCGGAGGCGGCTAGGATCTTTGATCAGATGAACAAGAAGGAGTCGCAGCGTGAGACCGAGGGGGAGGGCCACGGAGGCGAGGGCGATGTTGAGAAGAGCGGGGAGCGAGTGCGTGAGGCTGAGCGTGAGGAGCAAGCGTCGCCTACTGAGACGGCGCACGAAGAGGAGCGCGAGCACAGTGGGAGTGGTAGCGGTAAGAAGCTCAACGCGCGCGAGTCGTGAGCTCGAGTAGATAGATCTGTGTGCCCTTTTCTCATATATCATGGATTGGCATTCGTTGCGGCTTCACGGCGCGGGAGGGGTGATGATCAGGGTCCACGGGTCGCGGAGAGGGGGTGTCGGCCTCGCTGCGTGTTTGGTTTGGAGTGCAACGCAGAGGCCGAGGTGCCAGGCTTTTGCACGCACGCACGCACACACACACGGGCGGGGCGGCTCGTCTCCTCTCGCGCCTGGGCAAACGACTGGCGGCTCTCAAGTCTGTCAGGGCTGGTGTGCCTCGTCTGTCCGCTCCGCCCTGGTTGCTCTAGCTCCTCGTTGCCAATTGCAGGCGACGCCGCTCGTCGGTTCTCCTTTCCACAACTACCACGCCACGCTGCGCTGCGCCCGATCGACGACGACGACGACGACGACGACGACGACGACCTCCTGCTAAAGAGCGCGCATACAGCCCCCCGTTTCTACCTCGTACTCCTCACCACCACCACCACCACCACTCCCTCCCTACTCCTCGACAGCGCCACATCGCTGTTCCCCCTCGCGCCGCCATGGGCCTCTCCTTTGGCAAATACGACGAGGTCTGTAATACCGTTCCCCTCGTCGTCTGTCCCCTCCTTGGCCCCTCTTCCCTCGGCCTCGAGTCACAATGCTATTCTCGCAACGTAGAGATCAACAGCACCGTCATCTTCCAGCCGGCCACCTGCTTCATCCACATCGCCGCCTTAGTCATGAGCGCGATCATGGTGTACCACATCCGGTCCAAATACACCGCAGTGGGGAGAAAGGAGATTGTCCTCTTCTTCTACCTCTATGCGCTTAGCGAGATTCTGGCCATCTTCCTGGACTCGGCGATTATTCCTACCTACTCTCAGGCTTACCTGTATATTACGGCCATTTACGTGGGACTGGGGACGAGCATCTTTTGGAGTCTGTTGGTCAATGGGTTTGTGGGATTCCAGCTGTGGGAAGATGGGACGCCCAAGTCGCTATGGTTTTTGCGCATCTCGTCGCTCGTCCTCTTTGTCGTCGGGTTCGTCATCTCGATTTGCACTTTCAAGGGAATTGGAGGGATGAGCCCTACGAAGCAGGTGGTGAGTAGCATCAGCGACGCGTGGAGAAGACGTTGCAACCTCGTCGACCTTGCAATTCCCGCTGACAGGCTTCCTCCTGATCTCGCGGCCGCGCCCGCGCCTGCGCCCGCCACGCCAGGGACTCTGGGTGATCGACCTCCTCTTCCCCGTCATCTGCGTAGCAATCTACGTAGGCTCACAGGTGCTCCTCGTCCTCCGCACCCTCGACGACCGCTGGCCGTTGGGTGACATCGCATTCGGTGTCCTCGCCTTCGTAGCCGCTTGCGTCCTCATGTTCGGCTTCTCGACGGAGATCTGCCAGGGCGTCAAGCATTACATCGACGGCACTTTCTTCGGAGTGCTCTGCCTCCTCTTTGCCGTCATGATGGTGTACAAGTATTGGGACTCGATTACAAGAGAGTGAGTGGCGCGCGCGCGCCCGCCACCCTACCTCACCTCGCTGACTCTTCCTCTCCCCCCTTTGCGTTCGCTCATTCGCAGGGACCTGGAGTTCTCCGTCGGCTCAAAGCAGACGGCATGGGAGGTCAAGGACCCGCTCCTGGGCAGCAGGGAAGGAATGGGAGACGACGTAGTGACTGCTACGGCTTCTTCTGCGACGCACGACTCGTCCAGCGGCGGGAACGGAGGCTACGGCGCCGGAAAGAATGGTGGCCTCTCAGCGCCCTATGGCGGCGGCGGTGCGTCGAATGGGAGACTAGCGCCGGGCATGGGAATGGGAATGGGAATGGGAATGGGCCCCAAGGGTGGGAACGGAGGTGCAGGCGGATACCCGCCGAGTGGCGGGTACGGGGGCAGCAGCTACTAGAAAGGGCGCAAAGATGAGCGCGACACGCTGCCACCCCTCATCTTCTTCTACAACGGACTATCCACGCCGACCGCCTCTTACCCCCTTGGTCGCTCGAGGTCATGCATTCACTCGATTCCACACACGCGACTCTCGCCCCTCCCCCCAACCCCTCCTCATATGCCGCCGAGGCGTATCTTGATATCTTCCTGTGTCGATTGCTTGTCTCATACACTGTCTCTCCGCCTCTTGTGCTCCTCTCAATGAACGATGAACACGGCCTTCATTACCGCCGCCACAGGATGCAAGGCCCGGTCTGCGTGATGCGTGAGCGAGAGAGCGGGCCTAGTCTACCTGCGTACCTCCACGCGTCTGTGCGTCGACTCCCAAGGCTGAACGGACTACGACTTTCTCGTCAGCTCTGCCTTGCCGTCTTAACCTCAACGCCAACCTCAACATCATCCTCCACCTCACCAGCATGTCCCTCCGCACCAGCAGCAGCAGCAGCTCCTCGAACAGCAACAGCTGGGGAGACCCACGTCCCACCACTACTGGACCGGGGGGAGTAGAAAAGGTGTGGAGCGATGAGCCCACTCCCGCTCCCGCGCCCGCCGCCTCTTCCTCGAACGATCGACCCCAGCAAGGCGAGATGTCAACACAACGTCCTCCCACGTCTTCGTGGCGTGAGCTCAGGGCGCAACAAGGTGGACAGGGAGGTGGTACGTCCTCCTCTTCTGTAGCGCAACAGGGGCGACAGCAACAGCAGCAGCGGCAGCAATCCTACGGCTCACCGTGGGATCGACCTGCAAGTGACAACGGCGGCGGCGGCGGCGGCGATGCAGGACAGGGAGAGGAATTGGTTCCTGGCCAGTTTACTCAGAGAGAAGGTGAGCGCCCGTCCATCCCTCTCGTTGCATCGAGTGTCTCCTCTCGACTCACACAGCATACATCCCCCACCTCGCGCCTCGCAGTCTCCTACCTCCCAACCCTCCAATCCTCCCGCCTCCAATCCCGTCGCATAGGCTACCTCCTCGGCGCAGGCTCTACCTTCGCCCTCTTCCAATACCATCGCTATCGCACCCTCCCGGCACCCCGCCCTTCTCGCTCCCCCTTCCAAATCGCAATGCTAGGCTTCGTAGTGCTGGGCGTGGGGGCTCCCTTAGGTGGGTTCTTGGGGGAGTTGAGAGGAGCCTACAATGGTGTCAAGGGGGCTAAGGGTCAGGTGGAGGATCAGATGCATTTTTTGCAGACTTTGGCGATGAGGGAGAGGGAAGGGGTGGATAGGGCTAGGCAGGGTTTAAGGGAGGGGAGAGGGAAGGGGGCGGAAGGGAGGGAGCAGCAGGGAGAGAGGGATTTGGTCGGTAGCGAGGTGGGAGGAGCGGGAGGAGAAGGAGCATACCGCGGAGAGGATCAGTCGCCGCTACCTCAAGGGACGCCAGCTTCGTCTTCGTGGCAAGCCATTCGATCACAGCGGCTCGCTTCCCCTTCTCCTTCCTACTCGCCCTCCTCGTCAGCCTCCCCGCCAGAGTCCGACCCCTTTTCCCCACCTCCTTCCTCGGCCGCAGCAGCAGCCAACGGCGAGTCGGGCGATGCTTTGTCAGGCGGAGGAAGTCGCTGGGCTCAGCTTCGTCGGTTCAACACCAAGAGCGGGACGACGTGGGATCGTTTGAGGGCGGGAGAGGGTGGTGGTAGTGTCGGAGGACGTCAGCCGCCTAGAGAGGAGCAAGAGCAACAGCAAAGGGAGGAGACGTGGTAGCTATCCCAACGAGTAGCGGGAAGCGAGTGCCGCTAGGACAATGGAAACAAGAGAACAGACTTCACGTCACGCAAGCGTCAAATGTGCTGATGCGGGAAGTTCGATTGACTCGAGCCGCGTGTGGTGATGAGTGGGAGGGGAGGGGATAGATCGTACAAGAGAGAGGCGCGAAAGAGGGAGAGAGAGAGAGTGGCTGGAATCGCAAGCGCTCACATCTAAGCGCGCCCTGCCTCGTACGCCTTGATCTTGTCTGCGATCTTCTCCTTCCTCTGCTGGTAGGTAAGCTTGGTAGCCTTGTGCTTCTTGCTCTCGCTCTTCCAGTCCTTGGTCTTCTCCGAAGGCTTGAAAGACGGGTCCTCCCTGATGGCGCTGAAGGCGTTCTCGTACATCTCCTCAATGTCGTCCGATCCAAGGTCGTCGGCGAGGTAAGAGGCAAAGTGCTTCTTGAAACGCTCGTCGTCCTCCTCTTCGAGGGACTCCATGAACTCGCTCACGTGCCCACCAAAGATGTAGGATCGGAGCGTCTCCTCGTCGAGCTCCTTGCTCTCAGGGTCGTAACCGGGGAAACGCTTCTCCGAGTGAGGGATGTAGATACCTCCGTCCGAAGCACCCTTGAGGGCGCCGAAGACGCGGGATCCCGTCGAGGTGCGCTTCAGACCGACGTCGAGGAAGCACTTGAAGGGACGGGGCTCGTCCTCGCCCTCCAGAGGCTCAGTCTCGGTCATGGTTCCGTCGGGCTCGGTGACACCCTCGTACTTGTCGGCGAGGCCGAGGAGGGTGAGGGCGCGGCGGGCCACCAGGAGACCAGTGGCGTAAGCAGCGGACCAGTTGGAGAGACCGTGCTTGATACCGTAGCGGGGCAGCTCCTTGGACGATGCCTGGGTGAGGACAAAGTCGCCGACGATCTTGGACGAGACGATCTGGCAGGTGACGTACTTGTTGGAGAAGCGGACGACGAGACGGTACTTGGGGGAGCCGTACTTGTTCTTTGCCTGGGAGACGAGGGCACGACGCTGCTGGTAGTCGGTGTGGCCGGACCTGCGACGGCGGTACTTGACCTGGAAGCGCGAGGCGTAGGCAGAGTTCTTGGTCTGCTTGACGAAGGGCATCTGAGGGGTGGGATGGTTGAGAAGGACGAAGCATTAGCGGGGCGCTCGCGGAGGAGGGGAAGGCGGTGGACAGCATGACTGCACGCCATCTTGTACCGCCTGGCCGTCGGCTCACCTTGAAGGAGGTGTAAGAGGGTGGTAGTGATGAGGAAGACCTAAGGGAACTCGGCGAGAAGTTGTTCGCAGCCCTGCCTCAAGTCCAAGTCCACGAGCGAGCGACTCACTCTCTCTCGAGCGTCCCTCCCGCCTTGCTTGCCTGCTTGCTTCCTTGCCTGCCTGCCCGCCCGCCCCGCTCGCTGCTCATCAATTTTGGCTTGGGCTTGCCCACTCGCCCCTCCCCTCTTCGTCGGTTCCGAGTCGAGATTCTCTTGCGCGCAGTCGAGCCAGTTGCAAGGCGGCAGGCGGGCGGGCCAGGCAACGCTGCTGCTCTCCGCCCCGCCAGCCCGCCCGCCGAATCGACTGAGTGGGCCCACTCTGGCTGGCTCCATTGGACTTCGACCCACGCCAGGCCAGAGGGCTACCGAATCTCGAACCTCGAACCTCGAATTCACTCTCTCGACTTTACCACCATCCTCCTCACCCCCCTCCTCATCAAGCAGGTGCGACTCATACGCCGCTGTACCTACGTCGACTATCGAACATCGCGCTCATTCTTTTCCTCATTCTTCGTTCCTCGTCACCTCGCAGCAAAAATGGCAGAGAAGAAGGCAGCCAACCCGATGAAGGTGAGCGTCGTGCTGAGCGGGACAGAGTGAGAGGAGGAAGATTTGGAGGCGAGGGGAGAATGGCCAGCACGGGGGCGTACGCGGGGACAAACGACGGTAGCAGAGGCGTCATATCATCTATGAGGAGAGGCAGAGCTATCGCAGAGCAGGGGCGGGGGGCTCAGCTTCAAGTGGCAGGCAGTCGTTGTATGCTCTGGCAGGCGGGCAGCAGCGGGTGGAATGCGTCTCGTGGGCAGTCCTTCAGGCTCGCCTCAGCGATAAATAGCGCCCTTTTTTGGCCAGCACTTCCTCGCTTGGATGGCTGGTGGCAGAGCCTACCTTGGCATCGCTGGAAGCTTTCGACCCTTCGAGGGGCAGGCCCTTGAACCCACACACACGTCGTTCTCGATGATCACCCCACTCACACCCCTCCTCCTCCCCTTACCTCCCTTCCCCCCTTCACCAGGAGCTCCGCGTTGACAAGCTCGTGGTCAACATCTCCGTCGGCGAGTCGGGCGACAGGCTCACCCGAGCCACCAAGGTCCTCGAGCAACTCACGGGCCAATCCCCCGTAACCAGCAAGGCCCGCTACACCCTCCGTGGTTTCGGTATTCGCCGTAACGAGAAGATTGCTTGCCACGTCACTGTTCGTGGACCCAAGGCGGAGGAGATCCTCGAGCGTGGACTCAAGGTCAAGGAGTACGAGCTCAGGCGTCGTAACTTCTCCGAGACGTGAGTGCGAGACTCATTGGAAAACGACGAGGAGGAGGACATTTTGAATGCGCCGATTACTGACCCGTCGTCCCCTCGGCCCCTCGCTCTCGCACTCGCAGCGGCAACTTCGGCTTCGGTATCACGGAGCACATCGACCTTGGCATCAAGTACGACCCCAACATCGGTATCTTCGGCGCAGACTTCTACGTCGTCATGACTCGCCCTGGAGCCCGCGTCGCACGTCGCAAGGAGCGCACCAGCCGTGTCGGTGCGCCCCACCGTGTCCGTCGTGAGGAGACGGCGCAGTGGTTCAAGTCGAGGTTCGACGGTATCATCATGAAGTAGGCGGGCCCGTGGGGAGAACTGAGACGTCGTTGTTTCTTCTTCTCTTCCATCCTTGTCTTGACCTCAACTCCAACCTGTACTTGTCGCACTTCACACCACATCTCATACTGTCGTAGCCGTGATCCATGATCTCAAATGGCAGACTACGCTTGACCCGCGCCCTCGCCCTCTCCCAGTCTGAGCACGCTACGCTACGCCATGCTACTTGTTCTTCATCTCCTCCTTCTAATCATTTCTACGGAGTCGTGTTTACATGCTCATCATCATCGTCTTCACGCCGGGAGAGTCTTGGCATTCTCGACCTTCTCCGCCTCAACTCCCTCGACTGCCTGGAGCGGGGTCTGCGGCATCGTGGCTGCTGCTGATGCTACTACATCAGCGGCCGTCCCGTGCGTGGGGAGGACGACGTTGCCCAGCCTGGGGCCCGTGGCCTGTGTGATGAATTCGGTGGGAACGGGAAGCTTGGCCGAGGCGAGGCGAAGAGCTTTGAGTGAGTGAGCGAGTGAGCGTGAGTGAGGTAGAGGGAGTCAGAGAGGGAGGGAGGCAAAGGAAAAGAGAGTGAGCATACAGGCAGGACAGCGGGGTACGTGAGAGTGGGCAAGGACGGGTGCTATGGCACAACCATCCTCGACTCACCAGCCTTGGCCACCTCCTCCCTAATCTCCAACGGTCCCCCAATCTCAAAGACGACCTTTCCCACCCCGGCACGACAGGCCCAGAATTCGAAAGATCCCCTGCGATCGAGAGCAGCGCGAAAGACAAGGGCCAAAACATGTGGTCAGCTCCCCGTCTCTCTCTCTCCTTCTCGCTTTCATCGTCTCGATGGCGCTCGCGCCACGCGTTCTCGCACACTCACTTTCCCTTCCCCATCCTCGTCTCATTCCCCTTGACGCACACGGGCACATCCGGAAAGACCCTCATGAACACCTGAGCTCCCTTGAGTACCTTCAAGTGTCTCTTGAGGGCAACTTCCGCCGATTCGAGCTGTTTTGCGCTCAGTCTTGCTGGAGCGAGCAAACGAAGCCCGTAGGAGCCGTGAGCTAGTGTGGTCCCCTTGGTCGATCCGCCCGAAGGGAGGGGTACTCGCCCTTTGTGGGATTTGCGATACTTTGTTCGACGCGGGGCTAGGTTGCCTTTGAAGCGTACTTGCTGCATTTGGTTGGAGAGGGGGGCATGGTTGAGCAGGCTGGTGGGGGTGGTGGTCGCGCTCGCGGTCGGGGTGGGGAGGAGGGAGCGAGATGATGAGGCAATTGGTGAGCCGCCAAAGGGGCGTAAAGACCCGAATGTACGGGTGAGGGAGAGCATTGCGGTGCGGAATGGGGGTGGTGGAGAGGGAGGCGAGTAGAGAGTGAGTGAGCGATGGATGGCAGACAATGTCGCGGCCGGAGAAGGAGAAAGGCGGCATTGACGCCGGACTGGCGGCGGACTGGAGTGAAAGCCACGCGACGGCTCCGACGCAGTCAGTCTCATCTACGAAGCCGTGACGCCGCCCATCTAATCCACACCACGACCTCATGATCATCCTCTCTTCATCTGCAGATCGTCGTGGGATATTGATGATACGTCTATGAATACATTGAATATACGCTGCCTGTCCCCTCTCGCTACCTCTACGTCGCCTCATCATCATCATTCCCCCCATCCCCCTCCAAATCGTCTCCTCCTCCCCTACCTGCCTGCTCATTGATCCACCCATCCTCGTCCTCCTCCTCTTCAGCAACATACTCCTCGTCCGCGCCGCCCATGAAGAGGCCATTATCCGCCGTCGTCGTCTCGTCCCCGAAGCCAGCACCGCGACCGTCGCCGCCGCCGCTGGTGTCCATCATGTCGTGTTGCTCCTGCTGGGCGGCCCCACCATTCTCATCGGGCAAGGGCAGGTGAAGCGCAATGAGCTCGAGCAACTCTGAGATCTGAGACTCGCTGAAGCGCATAGAGACTTCTTCGACAATCTGAGCGATGCAGGGATGTCGCAAATGGTCAGAGGAGTTGGGTTAGCATACACGTCTCGCTCTCGCCCTCGCTCTCGCTCTCCTCGATCTGCTCTCGCTCGTGACTCACCGTGTGCAGCTCTACATCGCTCCGGGGCACATGGTTCACCAACTGTAGTCTCTCGGCCTTAGTGAGGGCTCGATCGGGGAGGATCTCGTCCGGCCCTCGCTCCGAGGCATTGTACTCTGATGTCGATGTGGAGCCCCCAGCCGCGTTCGTGGGGTCGACCCCTCTTCTCCCGCCGATAAAGCCGGCCTTTTTCAGGGCAGATTGAAAGGAGTGGATGTGCGAGGGATGTCTGTACGAGAAGCAGGAGGGGAGGGGAGGGGGTGTAAAGGCAATTTAGACTCGAAGACGCTTGAATGGCCCATGCTTGCTTGCTTCCTTTCTTCAGCTCGTGCGACGCGACTCACTGGTAAACACAAGGACGCCACGGTTGGGTCAGCGTAGCCATCGTCTCGTACTGTACGGTTCGCAAGTTGTCCGGGACTCGACTGAGCGCTGCGGCCACGTCGTCGTCGTCGTTCCCCTCGGCATCACCCTTGGAGGTGCCATGTTGTTCAGCCTCCATGTCCGAGAGGAGGGATAGCATCTCCATGTCCGATAGAAGGGCGGACCGCGGATTGAGGACTTTCATTGCTGGAGGGACGAGGCAGGAGGGGGCGGTGGTGTTGGTTGATGGAAAGGCGCGGAGGACGGGAAGCGTTGGCTGCACGACGGATAGAGAGACGTCGACTTTCTGAGGGGAGCGGAGCGAGGGACAGGACGACGCAGGACGGAACGGAGACAGAAATGAGGCCGCCTCGTGCGAGCCAAGTCCAAGTCCACGACGACGACGACTTCAACTTTCTTCTCGCTCCATCATCACATCCTCAGTCCATCCCTTCGCAGCATGGCATCAACATCACGCTCCGTCTTAGGGCTGAGCACACTCCGTCTCAGCACATCCAGTGCCTCTGCCTCACGCACGTATGCGCGCCCCTTGCACTCCTCCTCATCCCTCCGTCTCGCCGACGCCGACTCCTCATCCTCCGACGCTCCCACCACCTCCCCCGGTCCAGCACGCTCTAACCGCACTCCCTCCCAATCAAGCTTAGAGCAAGACGCCGCAAGCTCCCCCTCTCTCCCACCCAAATCGCCCCCATCCCAACAAAATCGCTTCCAATCCCCACAAGCAGCAAACAACCCAACAGGTGCCCCGCCAACGCGATTCGACGATCTCTCCCTCTCCTCCTTCCCTCGTTTCCTCGACTCCCCTCACCCAATCCTCGATGCGGTGGACTATTCCCAGGTCCCCCTAAGTCGCAGAAACCCCTACGGCAGTTCCGTCTCCATCTACAATGACACGAAACACTTCAAGCCTCGCCCTCCCTCGGCCGCCACCCTCGCCCTCGAGAGCGGAGAGGGGGCTCCCGAGGATCTTGAGGCCGGCGGCGACGGCAAGAAAAGGAGTGGTGGACGTGGCGGTGGGCAATCTACCAAGCCGGCTGAGGCGGCTACTATTGCTGGGTTGACACCGCTCACCGAAGGGGACGTAATGGGCTTGCATAGACAGGTGCTGCAGACGAGGCGAGTGGTGCGTCAGTCTGGCAAGGGAAAGATTCAGAGTATGGCAGCTCTCATTGTTGTAGGCGATGGGAGGGGGATGGTGGGCTTTGGACAGGGGAAGGCGGCTAATGCTGCTACGGCTGTTAAGAAGGCGTTTAGGGATGCAGTGGGAGCCATGGACTTTGTGGAGCGTTTCGAAGGGAGGACTATTCAGCGTAGCGTGGTGGGGGAGTGGGGTGCGACGAAGGTGCATCTGAGGCCCAGGCCGCCTGTGAGTACACCGGCCTTGACCACTGACGGAGTCGCGATCCCTTGAGCTCGTACTGACATGCATCTCCCACGCACGATGGCCGCCAGGGCTTTGGTCTGCGTTGCCCTCCCTCGGTGCACGTCCTCGCCTCGTCGTGCGGTATCTCCGACCTGTCGGCCTCGATCACCGGCTCCACCAACCCACTCAACGTCTGCCGTGCAGTCGCCTCTGCTCTTTGCGGTGGAGCCAACCCGGTGGGGCTAGGCGACGGGTTGGGGGGAAGTGCGAGGAGGAGCGATCTGGGACAAGGGGCCAAGACGATTCGGGATTTGGAGGTCGAGAGGGGCAGGCGATTGAGGGAGGTAAGGGTGTGAGGAGAAGGGCATCGCACGCGGTTGGCGTGGCGTGGCGTGGCGTGGCGTGGCGTGGTGTGGCATGGATGCAATGGCCATACAATGACACTACGAAGAAGTTCCTCAGTATGGGTATCATGTCATTATCGCGATCGTCGTCGCGCCGCCCTAGTAGTACTCGATCTCTAGAAAGAGAAAGGCGCTATGAGCTGGATGGATGAGGTGGAGCCCTCGCGGGTTGAGTAGCTCCGTATTCGTCTTTGCGATTTGGTCCGTGAGCTTGTCCATGCACTGCGCGTGAATTGCGAGTCCACAGGGTTAGCCAACAAAGTCCATTTCCCCGCCCATGAATGAGCAACAGTAATGCCACAGTCCTCGCAATGGTGGGGTCTCGCGCGTCTACTCACCCTCTCGTAGTGACTTCCCCCAACCAAAGGCCATACCCACAAACTAAACACCGCAGCCGCATTATCCAGTCCTGCCCATAAGGGGCTATTCGCCTTGACCAGCATCTCATTCACATCATTCACCACCTCGGTACACTCCGTCGGGCTGACCCTCTTGTCCAGCTCTAGCGGGAAAGCAGAGTAGAATTGAGGGACGTGAGATGCAGAGTGGGTGTAGTCGCGCTCGATCCGTATTATGCTGCGTGGCGGTACGTGGCCTATGAGTGTTTGTGGGTTGGGTGGGGGAGGGGTGTTGTAAGGGGAGGAGGTCGGGGAGGGAGGACCAGTGTAGTAGCGGGATTTAGGGAAGGAGGAAGGGGTAGGGGTAGGGATGGAGCGCGGCTGGCGTTCTGCTGAGAGAGTGGTAGGGGTGGCCGAATCGATGTGGTTGGTAGGGGGCTCGAGGGGGTGAGGCGACGCCATGGTTGTAGCGACGACGCCTGGTGGCGCGGTCGACGGTGCTGAGGTGCCAATTGAATGGGATGGGACGATGCGGAGGTTGGAATGGATTAGGACTCGATGAGCTCACTCGTGCAGCCCTGGTTCCGCCCGCCCGTACAGGTCGATCCCGGCGCAAAGCCAGCGCAAGTCGCGTCAGTCAGGGCAGCGACGGGGCTGCGTGCGTGCGTGTTGCTTTGCCGCCGCCGCCTGCCGCGATCGAGGACCGCGGTTGGACGGATGCTGCGAAGCTCAGTCAGTGACTCTCCTCCCCGCTCCCCACCCATCCTCTTCTTCTATCGACCACCATCCACACGCCATCATCCAAATCAACATGTCTAGAGTGAGTAGCTTCGTCAGTGTGACTTACTGCGTCTAACCCACGATGCTACTTCGTCTACATCACGGCTCGCTCACTCCATCCCCTTCTTCTCTCCTCGCTGCCAGGACGCGCAGACGCGCACCCCTTCACCTCCCCCCGCCCTCCAATCCAGCAGCGGCAACCACAACAACAAGAACGGAATAAGATCCGATGGCAATACAGCTCAAAGCGCAGGAACAGCCTTCTTCCTCCGCGAACGTCAACGTCTCGTGGCCGAAATCGCAGAGGTGAGCGCGCGTCTGCCCTCATTCCCCCCTTCCCATCCGCGCAACCTGACCAAGCTCTCTTCGTCTCTGCTATGTCCCTCCTTCGCTCGCTCCCTCGCTCGCCCGCCCAGTCCATCGGCCAGATCCTCAACCACAGCAATGCCCTCAATCGCAAGCTGGAAGAGTCCCTCCTCGTCGGTCACGAATTCGAGCCGGTAGCCAGACTATGGGGCAATTTCGCTGCGAGCATGGGCGGGTCGCTTGACCCCAGCAACATCAATTCAGACACTCAGCAACAGCAACAGCAACATCACGACGACAATGGCGGAGACGACACGGTGCTCGAGCATCGCGACGAAGGGGCACAGTCCACCAATCAAGCCAGCAGCGGCGACGCCCTCTCTCAATCTCAAGCGGGTCAGACACAGGCGCAGGCGCCAGGGCAGGTGCCCGTCGCTCCTGGCGGAGGCAATTGGTCTACGGTCGCCTAATCGACGATGCCGGAAAAAGGGGTATAGCTATTCAATCCGGACGGGTATCATCCCACGCGCGGCGCCTCGCATCACCAACGCTCATCGTCCTCCTCATCGGCGATCTCACGGTCCTTGAGTCCCCTAGCCCACTCGCGCTCGAACAGAGCCATACGCCTCTTGATCTTGGCCTCCTCCTCGTCCACCTCGTCCTCTACCAGCGCAAGAGCAGCAGCAGCATAACGAACGGCCTCAGCCTCGCGCTCCGCCTTGGCAGCCCACGAAGCCTCTGCTGCACGCCTGCGCTCAAACTCCTCTTGCTCGTCCGCGACGAGGTCGCGCTCGATGGCCGCAAGCTTGGCGCGCTCCGCACGCTCAGCGGCGATGCTCTCCTCCATGAGTTCCTCCTCGACTTCCTCGTAGATGGTCTCGCGCCAGTCCGGGTAGGCAATGAGGCACGAGGTGCCCGACGACGATGATGGCGAGAGGGACGTCATTGATGACGACGACGACGACGGAGAGAAGGAGCTCATTGACGAGTCCGACTCCGAGTCAGAGCCCGAGTACGACTCGGCCGGCATGCAGGCAGAGGCCGAGGCCGAGGCGGCTCGTTGCTCCCTCTCGAGGGCCTTGAGCTCACGTACATTGATGATCATCGCCTTGAGCTGCTCGCACATGTCCTCCCACGTCGGCGAGCAGGGCATCGCCGGCATGTCATTGGAGGAGAGGCAGCGCTCAAAGGCGGCTACGGGCTCAGGGTCTTGAATATTGAGGGCTTGACTTACCGACTTGTGTTGACGCGAGGCTGCGAGGCTAGGGTAAAGCTTGAAGGCCTCCCACGATGCGCTGCTGGCAATGAGGTCCGACGACGCGATCGAGGTCGATGAAGCGAGGCCATCGAAGCTTGCCTTGCTGGCGGGTAGTTGGGTCCTTGTCTTGCGCGAGAACTGCTCCCACGACTCGCTCGAGGCAATGAGGTCCTCGTAGCGAGACTCCGAATGGGCAAGCGCATCAAAGCTGGGTAGCTGAGCGAGCAGCA